CTTGACCCTGAAATTATGGGCGTAGATACTGGTTTCATGGAGCTAAGTCAAAGAGTTTCAGATTTAGGGGGGAAAATACGTTTTTCACTAATGGCGGCTGTTAATTTGTATATTGTGCATTATCTAATAAAGTGATTATATTCTAAATGTGTTTATTTGCTTCCCAAGCCAAGAAAACATGGGTTTAGACACAATTTCCACCAAATTTGAACATTTAATAGCCAAGTTATAGCATTAAGTCAATTTTTGAAATGTGAAATTATGCTAATTAGCAGCATATTACGCAATTTGACCCCTTTCCACCTAAAATATTTAGGAACATTTTTAGGATGTTGTTTAGGGGACTATACTGAAATGCTTCCCAGTGAAATTAATTCTGTTGCAATTTGTTTCGGGTCTAACCCCAGATTGACTGGACTACTAGTCTTCTATAGATTCCTGCACGTTGTTGTTTTTATTCTGAAGCAACTATATACTATGATGTCAATTTTATGCACCGAACACAGACCTAAAAAAAAAAGCAGCAAAAAAAAAAAGCTATTTATAGTACTGCCATTTATTTCAGTCAATGACCTCTGTCGTTTAATTTTAATTATCAAATTTGAACTTGGGGGCCTCCACCCTTTCCCTCCCAATTAGATGTAAGTCCGATTTTTCGGGCAAAACGAGTCGGATATTATAGGTGATACGTCTGTAGAGGGTATATTTTTCGGGGGGGGGGGGGTATTTGTTAAGACGTTTTCTTGTGGCCTCGCCCACAGACGATAAAACCACGCAAATACTTTAGTCGATAAAATCAGTCAAATAATCCAGTCGATAAAATCAGTCAAATAATCCAGTCGAATTTATCAGCCGAATAGATCATGCAGTCGTATATGTCAGTCGAGATAAGCTATCGTCTAATTACAAGATACTCAGAATATTTTTTTTTCATTTGATTGACCCTAATGGTCTTCCGTAGAAAAGTATATATCCCATCGACTCAGAATCTTTTGTAAATTGATAAAAGACAAACTGACATCAACTATACCAATTTTGGAGGTTGTGTATGCAATAGCTACTTTGCCAGAGGCTGTGGAACCCCTGAAAAAAGTGAATAATTCATTTATTCCACATTTTGCCACCTGGTGGTACGAACTTTGCGAATCTCAAATTGCGTGTGATGCTACATTGCTTCATATACACCAAAAGTTGTCTTAGATCCATTTGAGTACGGTACCATTAATTTCAAATGGCCATATCTCAGCGAATTTTCGGCCTAGAGGTACAATTTTGGATTTGTTAGCTTAAGTCCATGTATTATAACATCTTTTTATAATTTTTTTGGAGGGTTCATGTTCCCAACTTTCCGAAATTTGGTCCACTTGACATGGAATGACCCATATGTCTTTCGGTAATTAAATATTTTGGATGCAATGGGTTTAGTATAAGTATAGCAAATCCTAGGAGCAGTAAGACTTGAAATTGCGCCTCAGTAATTGGTCATCACGCAACAAAACCTGGTTTACCGGTATGCATTCCAAAATTGGCAGAGGGGATTCTACGTCTGTAGTACCTGTGAGACCGATTCGGCGGGTTGAACAAAAACTTCGTCGCAGCTGGAATTTCAGAGAACTCTAGACATAAGTTAAAAAATTTCACTTTTCGAATTGAATGCACTCAACGTTTGTTTCACAGCAAAAGTACCAGGCTAGCGGGGGATCACGTGGCTAAGTGGGTAAGACGCTAGCTCGCTAGCCTGGAGGTCGGGTGTTCGATCCCTGCATTGGCCGAGAAAGTTCATCCAGATTTTCCGGCGTGGTTCTCCCTTGTCAGTGATGCAGGACGGAGGGGCTGACAAGGAAAGCTGTCTAGTCGTTCGGATGGGACGAAAAACCGAGATCCCGTGTACACATTGGCGTGCACGTAAAAGATCCTTTGGCAGTTGGAATTCGATATAAGAGTAGGCCGTAGTGCCGCTGTCCGGGCAAAATTTCCCTCATAGCACACTGTATGGCGTATGCCCGTCTTCATTAGCCCAGGTTAGGAGCAGAACAGTAGGACGTTAAACTCCATTTCATTTCATTTCACCAGACTAGCGCAGTAGCATTCCCCCACTCCCTCTATCAATGAATACACGTTCAGTAAAAACAACGAATGGTGAAATATTTTATTTGTAAATAATTATTTACTACATCTATTAGTATGTAATTGATTAAGAAACAATATAATCTATTTCAACTGATCAATTATCAGTTAGCCCACATGAAAAAATCTTATATTTCCCCCACCACATCCCCACGACTACATGTTGGTATTTCAAAAATTCAATATTGTTGACCCCTTTCTAATTCCCTTAAAGTTTTATATTCCATGTTTAGGAAAATGGAAAATTTAGAAGTTTCACTTGCAGCATGATGGACCAACTGGTATGACACCTCTACCCCATCCCATTCCCAAATTATGCTGGAATGTCGAAAATTTCGAAATGATTTTGACCCCATTCAAATTACCATAAACTGCTACGTTCCTACTGTAGGGAAAAGGGAAAATTTAAAATTTGGACCTGTAGCATGACGGACGAACAGGCATAATCTGCTTGCTTTATGTGGAAAAGCGAAGTTCTCGCAGTAAAAACCACATAGCTGAACCAGCAGCTTATTTACATATATTAAAAACTGTTCGTGCGATTATTCCCTTATGTTTAAATATAATATTGAGAGCCGACTACCCAATCCCAACTCCCATTTAGGAAGCGGGAGGTGGGATTTTCCCAAGTACCCTGATCAACTGGAAGTGTTTACTCACTATTGACCTTACATTGTAAAATACATAATCACGCCTCTATTTGTCTAATTTAACATTAGATAATTTAATTATAATAACAACAAAAAGATTTCAATGGGAAATACGGATATAAATCAATACCTCTTATCTATAAGTATATAATTGATTAAGAAATAATATAATCAATTTCGACTGATGAATTATCAGTTGGCCCACATTAAACAATATTCAATAATATGTGGGTATAGATAAAAAAAATAATAAATGTCGTTGGGCGAAAAATTATAATAAAAATATCCTCGACCCCACCGTATGTGTATGTCGAAAATTTCGAAATGCTTTTGGCCCCATTCAAATTACCATAAACTTTTACTGGTACGTTCCAAGTTTAGGTAAAAGGGAAAATTTAAAATTTGGACCTGTAGCATGACGGACGAACAGGCATAATACATCTACCCCCCCCCCCCATCACATGTTGCTATGTCGAAAAATTCGAAATAATTTTGACCTCTTTCAAATTCCCATAACGGTTTATGTTCCAAGTTTAGGTAAAAGGGAAAATTTAAAATTTGGACCTGTAGCATGACGGACGAACAGGCATAATGCATCTAACCCCCCCCCCCCCCCCCATCACATGTTGCTATGTCGAAAAATTCGAAATAATTTTGACCTCTTTCAAATTACCATAACGGTTTATGTTCCAAGTTTAGGAAAATGGAAAATTTAGAATTTAGTTCGGTGACATGAAATATGGGCGTATAAAAAAACTCGTATAATTGTTTAATATAGGCACATAACAAAACCTAAATGTACAATAATTAATTTGTCCAATATGTTATATATTTTGGATAGGTTGATTTAACTGGGTTATTTACATATGGCGTAATATAAAAAAAAGAAAATGGGTAAAAGCATAAAAAGAAAACCAAAAACAAGCTCTTGTACATCAACTGGAAATGTTTGCTCACAATTGACCTTACATTGTAGAATACATAATCATGGATATAATATGAATGAACAATTATAACATTAGAATCAGTCCTACAGTTCATTAGAAAAATAATATTTTGGCAATAACAAGATTATAATTTGTCTAATTTATCAGATATTTTGATTACAATAACAAAAAAAATAAATAAATAAATTCAATGGGAAAAACCTAGTATATAATTGATTAAGAAATAATATAATCAATTTCGACTGATGAATTATCAGTTGGCCCGCATTAAACAATATTCAATAATATGTGGGTATAGATAAATAAAAAACCCATAATAAATGTCGTTGGGCGAAAAAATATCCTCGACCCCCCCCCCCCCCCCCACGTGTTTGTATGTCGAAAATTTCTAAATGATTTTGACCCCATTCAAATTACCATAAACAGGTACGTTCCAAGTTTAGGGAAAAGGGAAAATTTAAAATTTGGACCTGTAGCATGACGGACGAACAGGCATAATACATCTACCCCCCCCCCCCCCCATCACATGTTGCTATGTCGAAAACTTCGAAATAATTTTGACCCCTTTCAAATTCCCATAACGGTTTATGTTCCAAGATTAGGAAAATGGAAAATTTAGAATTTTGTTCTGTGACATGAAATATGGGCGTATAAAAAAACCTCTTAGTATTGTTTAATGTAGGCACATAACAAAAGCTAAATAATGTACAATAATTAATTTGTCCAATATGTTATATATTTTGTATAGGTTTATTTAATTGAGTTATTTTTACATATCAAGGCGTAATATAAAAAAAATATAATAAAATGGGTAAAAACCAAAAACAAGCTCTTTACTTGTATATCAACTAGAAATGTTCGCTCACTATCGACCTCAGATTATAAAATACATAATCATGCATATAATATAAATGAACAATAATCATGCATATAATATAAATGAACAATAATCATGCATATAATATAAATGAACAATTATAACAGTAGACATCAATCCTTCAACTTCATTAGAAAAATACTATTTTGACAATAACAAGATTATAATTTGTCATACAAAAAAAAAAAAAAAAAATTCAATGGGAAATACGAATATAAATCAAAACCTCTTATCTATAAGTATATAATTGATTAAGAAATAGTGTAATCAATTTCGACTGATGAATTATCAGTTGGCCCACATTAAACAACATTTGATATGTGGGTATAGATAAAATAATAATAAATGTCGTTGGGCGAAAAAATATCCTCGACCCCACCACCACCCCCACCGTGTGTGTATGTCGAAAATTTCGAAATGAATTTAACCCCATTCAAATTACCATAAACTGGTACGTTCCAAGTGTAGGGAAAAGGGAAAATTTAAAATTGGGACCTGTAGCATGACGGACGAACAGGCATAATACATCTACCCCCCATCCCCCCATCACATGTTGCTATGTCGAAAATTTCGAAATAATTTTGACCCCTTTCAAATTCCCATAACGGTTTATGTTCCAAGTTTAGGAAAATGGAAAATTTAGAATTTTGTTCTGTAATATGAAATATGGGCCTATAAAAATCTAATCAATGTTTAACATAAGTCTATTAAAAAAACTAAACAATGTACAATAATTAATTTGTCCGATACATTATAATAAAACGATATTTTAGACAGGTTGATTTGAGATGGTTCAATTTTATTTCAATAATTCGCTTACGCGTAGGGGTCTTTAGCAGTGGGAAGAAACCGGAGAAGCGGAGAAAACCCACGAGGTTGGAGAGGCGAACCTATTCCCTGTCACGTACAACCGGGGAATCGAAACCAGCGTATATAAAAACAGAAAATGAGTAAAACATAAAACAGGAGGTAAAACTGATTGACGTTTAATGTCATCACTGCAGATAGAAAAAAAACCCGTGGGGAAAAAGAATCTGCTTGCTTTATGTGGAAAAGGAAGTTCTCGCAGTGAAAATCACATAACTGGACCAGCATCTTATTTACATATATTAAAAACTGTTCGTGCGATTATTCCCTTATACATGTATTTAAAACTCCAAATTCTTTAAAACAGTTCACCACTTCAACGTTTCAAATCATATATAGTCTGCAGTCCAATAAAGTTTTCCTTGTTGAGGATGATTCTTCTCAGACAAACGTTACCCGAAAAGGGAAAGAAGAGCCAGCAGCAACACAGAACAAACTAAATATTTATAATAATACATGGCATTAAACTTTTAAACACAAATAATATAGATTTAAATGCAATATCAATATTAAATGGTTGGATTATGTTATCCAAAGACAACTGACAATAATATAAACATGTGACAATCTCCAGTGTCTGGTATTATCATATTGAGAGCCAGCTATTGGGGAGTTGGGTGGCCGAATGGTTAACGCCATTGAGTTAAGGTCTGCCATTGAGTCAAGTGGTGGGTTTTGATTCCCCGCTTGTACGTGACAAGGAGTAGGTTCGCCTGTCCAACCTCGTGGGTTTTCCCGGGGTCCTCCGGTTTCATCCCACTGCTAAAAACCCCTACGCGCAAGATATTTATTGAAATAAAATTGAATCGAATATGTTAGTCCTAAAATGTGAATATTTCGAAAAAACATTAAACGTTCTGATCTGTGTAGGCTTTTCTGACAATCTCTAGTGTCTGGTATATTATATACTGATTTGAAACAAAGATGTAGATATGAGTGGTCAGTATCGAGAACCGGCAACCCAACCCCCATCTAGGAAGGGAAAGGTGGGATTTTTCCAAGTGATCTGATCAACTGGAAATGCTCACTCACTATTGACCCTACATTGTAAAATACATGCATATAATATAAATGAACAATAATAACTGTAGACATCGGTACTACAACTTCATTGGCCAACCACAAGTCATCAATGATAACTGGCCTCGTCGAGGACCAATGAATGGGGAGTGCACACCAGAATCCACCATAATCTCCATAGAGGTGAGACAGAAGTCTCTAATATATTTTATCCAGAATCCTATTAGATTAACAATGTCATAAACCTTGAGTTCTGGTCTGTCTAATTGTGTGTTGATCACAATTCCCAAAGAAGAGAAGTCCCAAATAGGACTGAATGTGGTTGTGTACATGTTCTAGGAGGTAATGGTGAGTCTGCAGCCTACAACCATTACAACCCATTCTAATCACCGAGAACCTGTCTTGCTAGAAGCTACAAGAAATCCGGAATCTTTGTTTATTCTATGTGTGTGGGCTAGAGAAGAAACTGTTTGTTTTGTGTGTATGGGCTAGATAAGAGAAGAAGCTGTTTTATGTGTGTGGGCTAGAGAAGAAGCTGTTTATGTTATGTGTGAGAAGAAACTCTCCGTCTCATCGATGTGTTTTTACTCTTGAAAGAGATTAGCTTCTTCAGTCTGTTCAGCAGACTGGGTGATGAAGTTATTCTTTCTAGTCTAGATATAACACGTAGACTCCATTCCTCAAGTAGTTTTACACCTCAACCCTAACTAAGAGTCAATGTCACCAAGAACCCCTATTCTAAAATGTGTTTCAACCTTGACAACATAATGTCCTTTACTGTACCTAATAGACGGACACATGAAAAACTTAGAAAATATATAGTACATACATAAACCTGTTATTGCCAATCTAGAATTTCCCTTTTAAAGTCTCATTTCTCAGTCAAATTCCTGGAACCATAAGCGACCGTTTGTCATTCCATTCATAACGCAGTGAAATAGTTCACATGAATAATATCGTTTTAAAACGGACGTGGTCGAAAATTTGCTCATCTGTACAGCACAAATGATATTTTGCTCAATATACATGACTAAAAAAACAACTTAAGATGTGTTAATGGATACAACTGTTAAAACGTTTTCCAAAATACAAACGTGCGGTATTCTGCGTTATTGGTCACGCAAGTCTCCTAACTTACTGTTGTATTGTTTTGCGACTAGAAATGAATTGGGGTTTAACGTCCTATTGTTCTGTTCCGAACTTGGCTAATGAAGACGGGCATACGCCATACAGTGTGCTATGAGGGAAATTTTGCCCGGGCAGCGGCACTACGGCCTCTTATATCAAATTCCAACTGTCAAGGGATCTTTTACGCACGCCAATGTGTGCCAGTATGTACACGGGACCTCGGTGTTTCGTCCCATCCGAACGACTAGACAGCTGTCCTTGTCAGGCCCTCCGTCCTACATCACTGACAAGGGGGGAGAGAGAGAGAGAGAAATGGGGTTTAACGTCCACTCAACACAAACTAGGTCATTTCGGGAATAACATGGTTTAATTTTATTTCAATAATTCGCTTGCGCGCAGGGGTCTTTAGCAGTGGGAGGAAACCGGAGGACCCGGAGAAAACCCACGAGGTTGGACAGGCGACCCTACTCCTTGTCACGTACACCCGGGGATTCGAAACCACGCCAGTTGACAAGGGGGGACCCACGCCGGAAAATGTGGATGAACTTTCTCGGCCAATGCAGGGATCGAACACCCGACCTCCAGGCTAGCGAGCCAGCGTCTTACCCACTAAGCCACCGTGACCCCCTTTGCGACTAGAAAGTCGATCAGCTTGCCGCTCAAGTATAATTCGTTCAAAGTAAACCAATAGAGTAAATTCATCTAATAATCCCAATGATTCGTGCACAGTAAATCAATAGAAAAAAATTCATCTAAGAACCGCTATTGAGCAATTCGAATAACCAAGTTTTAGACGTCATTCGGCGTCTTGACTGTTGTGGTCCTGTAGAATATAAAACAGTTTTATCTTTTGTATTGTATAACACCGGGCAGTATTTTGTCATGTCTGCAGACATATTTCAAAAACCTTTAATTTGATGTACGGACCTGGCTACTGGAACACGAGAAGTTGTAATCAACAAGCATGTATGGGTTTTCAATGTTTTAAAATAAGGGACAACAGTGAATTATTACAGAAGTACAAAATATGTAATTATGTGAACTCCCGAAAAGAAGTGACATGGGGTGTTCTAACACAATCAGTTACCCTCATTCTTGAAATTTCTATGGATAACCACTCATTTCGTTTTCACAAATTTGTTCATCGTGTCACATAATACGATATTTTATGTTCTTAATAAAACTTATAAATAATCTTTGAACTTTTGTATTGCAGTCATCATACTTTCGCTTTTGGTTTAGAAATAAAGAAAATACTAAAATGAATGCTTACCTAATCAATTGCGTTACAATTGACTGTGCAGTACCTGCATGTATTATATGATCCGTGCCCTGTTCATCCACAACTTCAGGCAATGTATCAACATTACTATCGCCGTTTTCAAATATATCTACACGGTCCTGTAAATGAGAGGATTATGTTCCAAGATTTACACAGGCTAAAATTCCAGGATGCATTTAATCTCACACAGTTTGTTATGTTCTTTAACTGGCACTGTTCACTGTTGTTAAAATTAAAAAAAAATATTTATGGACGATTATTCAAAATCGAAACCCCTCCTTTTTTCCTTTTTTTTTTTTTTATCAAACATAGGATAATAATCCTGTAAATTAGATTTGTTTAGAATTAGAAATCTGTTATTCTATCTGTTTATGGGCTGATAAAAAAGACAGCATGTTTTATTTTTGTTTTGCCCAAAAAATATTAAAATCTACCAACGGTGTTGTACTACTATTACCTGTATCCATAAGTTCTCTAGACCACACTATCAACAATACATCTAAGTTTATCATAGAAACACGTTATATCCGATTATCTTTACTTGGTCCTCAAGAGAAATTTGCAATATACGTTAAAAGCATTAAAAATCTAAGATAAACCAAATATCAGAATATATTAAATATAGCACCCCTTACTTAGTAAGCAAATGCAAAATGGTGTAAAAAGTTAAAAATAACATGCAAAGAAATGTTAATAAGCCTAAAGAAGATGTGGGATTAGTCGATGCCATATATTAATATATTCCAATTTAATTACTCCCCATATCTATATATGTGACAGTCAATGTCTACAATCAGGCAATGTGTACAATGCCTGAAATATACCAGTCAATGTGTACATTGCCGGGTTAGGGTTAGGTTTAGGGTAAGGGTTGGGGGTTACAAAGGCATTGTACACATTGCCTGTAGACATTGACTGTAACATATATAACTTTCATCCAAAACATCCTGAGCATACATCATGTTGTTTACAAAAGAAAATTGGTGCACAAGCCAAGCTTAAGCAATATCAACAAGCCAATATATAAAGACAGACCCAGTATAAGATAAATAATAACGTGTGTGGACCCCTCTATGATACCATAAACGTCTTGTATCCTTTAGTGTTAGGTAATCTGAAAAAAAAAACATGAATTAATATTAGCCTATACTCGTTTCCTAAACTCAAAACAACATGCCCATTGGTGTTGAAGGATTACACTTACGAATATGTCAATTACATTGCACTAGACCTGTCTCATAGGTCAGATAAGTCTGATATAGGATGGAAACTATTTCTATGTAGTTTGACGAAAATATTGTGATATGGTGAAGATTTTTTTAATTAAAAAAAGATGTTGCTTACCCAAAGAACAACTACCCTTCCGCCATCGTCCGACCGATAACAAGAGATGTCTGGAATAGTAGTAAGTTTAAAATCTTAACAAAATGTTCTGGATTCATTGTAGTAAATAAAATGGTTAACTGTGTGTGAAAGACTCCACACGGCAAACCTAAGCAGATTCCAGTACCCTGCATCTAGCTAGATGTAGAGTAACGGAATCTGCCGAGGTTTGCCGAGTGTGAAAGACTCTAGTCTTAGTCTGTACAATTATCTAAAACTTTCTGATACTATGCCGCAGAAATATAAACTTTCATTGTTCATGCGTCTTTGGCGATAATTCCCCTTCCCCTTTAATAATACACAATACCTATAGTTTGTAAAACGAGTCCGTCTCACAACTGATTTTCGGGTTTACAAATCCTACATTCAAAACTATTGCTTGATGAAAACAGATTATTATTAGACTAACATACTGCGTATAAATATGCTGTATGCGCTTCAAAAGAAACTTTACACCATTTTGTCGGTCCAGTCAATGTAAATAATTAACGTCCACTTCGGGACTAACATATGGTACAATTTTATTATAATAATGTGCTTTTGCGCAGGTGCCTTGTGTAGTGTGTGTGCGTTCGTTGGGGTGGGGGGGGGGGGGGGCTCACGAGGTTGGACACGTAAAGCTTGGGATCGACTGTTCAAGTTTGAACTTGTCAAGTAATGTGCACTGTAGGCCTATCATAAGCAATCAGCCCACTTGTGATTATCCCTCCCTAATATAAATTAAAATTCAAAAAAGAAAGTTAAAGATTACTAACCTGTTGAGACCAGGGACTTGTCCTATTCGGATAAAATAAAGAGATGCTTCCATCTGAAAAGTACTCACATGTTACCAAGTGGCTGTTTGTTTGGTTTGATCATGATCAGTGTATCAAGCTGTATGGAACAACAAATTTACATATATAGAGACTCTCCTACCAGTCTTTTCTGATCAACACAAGTTGATAAAGTAACAAAAAACGAGGCTCTGCCGAGTTTTTTTTTTTACTTTATCAACGAATGTTGATACTTTTTTATATCAAAAAAGACGAGTAGGAGATTTTATTTATCACCCAATCCCTTCTTACATGCACAAACAGATAAATATAATTCTTTGCTGTAGATTTCACTTTTACTGAACATTATGGCGTAGTGATACATCATATTTTGACAGCAATTCAACCATTGCAAAGTCCTCTATATTGACCCAGTGTTTCCATCAAGGTCAATTGAATAACAATAGTTCATTTTTAATAAAAAATTTTTACTTTAAATAAGAAATGAACTGTTTTTTGAAAATAAAAAAAAGTAGTTCCTTTTCAACTGACCAATCAAATTCATGTAAAGCGATATCTCCTAAGGAGATATCGCAGTAGATTATGAAATATATCACACAAGCGATATTTACTGTAGAATGTATTATTGGATGATAAATTAATTTAATTGACACGAGACCCATGGCATTGGCAATGAATTGATTTTATGTTAGTATGGCGTTCTGCAATTCAGATCACGTGGCAAGAAAAAAACAACTATTTGTTCACGATACAAGCTCGGGCTGTGATTGGTTAATATATCTGGCGGGTATTAGATTAATTACGCCCCTGCTCATCTGTATCCGTAAGTTCTGTGAACACCACTATCAACAATATGTCGCAGGAGATTGATAACACAACAGTTTATTACAGGACAAAATATACTCAACAAAAACACTGAAAAGATACAAAATGATTATTTACAAAAGTGAACAGCACAGGGCCCTTATTCACGAAAACTTAAACTAAGTTACAACCGAAATTTTAAGAAATACTGCAACTTCATTGGATATATGCAAATTGATTTTACTGGTCAGCCAATCGAATTGCAGTATTTCTTAAAATTTCGATTGTATCTTAGTTTAAGTTTTCGTGAATAAGGGTCCAGGTCATATTTATAAGTGAGAAATTCTACTAATTACTAATAGGGTAAAGATTAAGTTAAAATAGAGAGAGAGCGAAAGAAATGGGGTTTAACGTCCACTCGACACAAACTAGGTCATTTCGGAACTAACATATGGTTTAATTTTATTTACATAATTCGCTTGCGCGTAGGGGTCTTTAGCATTGGGAGGAAACCGGAGGACCCGGAGAAAACCCACGAGGTTGGATATATATATATATATCAAACATGCCCTAGGAAAGATGCTTTACAGGTAAATAAATAGGACCATATAGTGGTGGACTTTACGGACAAACACAATTAGGAACACTATAAAATAATTAGACATCACAATTAACAAGACATTACAAAGGGGATAATATATTTAATCATTTATTATTTAATTGTGAAATATAAAGTTGTCTTTTTTTCTAAAGATATTAACTTGCTATATTGTTTTTGTATTTATTACTAAAATACTTATTTAATTAATTAGTTTAGAATTATGTACATAGTTTAAAATGTCTAGTCCAGTCAAACAAATATTAAACCTACCTTGAATATGTTCAATTGTGCTGTAACTGATGAAAGATGTTGAAAGTTTGAAAGATCATGCGATCATAGGAGAGTGAACTTGTTAACCAGGATCAACAAACCAGGTTTCCAAGATAACGAAATCTACTCACGATCTTAAAATAGTATCTTTAAACTATAAACTTAAGTAATTATAACAACTGGAAATAAAAGACTATAGCTGGATACACAGGACAATGAAAACTGTCCATAATATTTTAAAGAGAACACAACACCCTACTACAAATACATCTAAGTTTATCATAGAAACACGTTATGTCCGCATTATCTTTACTGAATTCTAAGGAGATATTTGCAATATACATTAATCCAAATATCAGAATATATTAAATATAGCACCCCTTACTTAGCAAGCAAAAGCAAAGAATTGTTAGTAAGTGTGGGATTAATCGATGCCATATTAATATATCCCAATTGTATTATTCGCACATTACACCAGCACTCCAAGAACTTCATTGGCTGCCAATTAAATCAAGATTTTAAGCTTTTATACCTTGCGTATAAGTGTTTACAAGGAAATGAACCTTCCTATCTAGCAGATCTTTTATTACCATACTTTCCTGGACGTGCACCCCGTTCTCAACAAGAGCATCGTCTTATAATTCCAAAATATGAACTCAAATCATTTGGATACAGATCGTTTGTTCATATTGTGCCTGTTCTGTGGAATTCATTACCGCTGAACATTAAACTGTCATCCAGTCTAGAAACATTCAAAACTAATTTAAAAACTCATCTATTTGCAATGCGGCCTATTATGGCACCCCGACTGAGTAGCGCCTTGAGCATGCATACTAGCATGGAAGTGTACGCGGTCATATTATTTATTATTATTATTATCTATATACCCCCCCCCCCAAAAAAAAACAACCCAAAAAAACAAAACAAAAAGACAAAAACAAAAAATTACCCAAAAAGCCTTAGCATAGCCTACAGGCTATCATCATGGAAAACTTCACATGATATTATTTACAAGAGATGTTGGTACACAAGCCAGGCTTATACAACATCAAAACAAGCCCATATATATATATATATACTATTCAAAAAAAGTAGGGGATATTTGATTTTGGGGGCATAATACTAAAATATGCAAATGACTACGAAAAAAGTCACTATAGAACCTAACAGAAGAAACATTTCCAGTTACATGTGACGCCCAAACGCACCAATAGCTACCGCATGGAATGCAGGTGATGCTTGGGATCATCATGGGGGTCCAACCCAAGATTTGCACGACTCTGACTTTGAATGTTACAGTCATTGTGGCATTGAATTCCAGGGTGGAAACATCAGTTTAATTGTTTTAGTGACCAGAAAACAAATTTTGATATGCGTCGGCTTACCCAAAATGAAAGGTTACGTGCCCTTGGCATGCTACAGATCGGCACAACACAGGCGGTTGTGGCGCGGACGATGAATGTTTCTCAGTCTGTCATAAGCAGGCTATGGTCCAGATACCGTGATACATAATCTGTACAGGACAGACCACGCTCAGGTCGACCAAGGGCGACAACTCAAGCCCAGGATCGATTTATCCGTACCTTGGCCTTGAGAAATCGTGTCATCACAGCAAATCAGATCAGCGCTCGTCTTCAAACAGACACTGGTGTGAGAGTGAGTGGCCAGACGATTCGGAATCGACTGCATAGGGGTCACCTTCGCGCCCGACGTCCTCGCGTGATCCCTTGTTTGAGAGATCATCACATTCAGGCAAGACGTCGTTGTTGTAGGGATCGTCAACACTGGGATAATCGACGCTGGAGCAATGTGATGTTTTCAGATGAGTCAAGGTTCACTGTTGATTTTTTGGACAGACGTAGGAGGGTGTGGCGTCGTCGAAACGAGCGCTTCCAAGACGTTAACGTCATCAGACATGATCGATTTGGGGGTGGTTCTGTTATGGTGTGGGGGGGCATCACTGTTGCTGGAAGAACGGCTTTACATGTTGTTGCAGGGCGTGTTACAGGCCAGTACTACCGGGACAACATCTTGGCAGTCCATGTTGTGCCGTTCGCACGACGTCATGGCCGCCGTTTCATCTTCCAGGATGACAACGCAAGATGTCACAGGGCCAGGATCGTTACAGGTTACCTCCAACAACAGAACATCACCACATTACCTTGGCCAGCACTGAGTCCCGACCTCTCCCCCATCGAGCATGTCTGGGACATGCTTGGACAGAGGTTACGTCAACGTCGACAACGTCCTGCCAATGTCCAAGAACTTGCTGCTGCGTTGCAACAGGAATGGGACAATCTGGACCAAAATGACCTTAGACGTCTCATTAGGAGTATGCCACGTCGGATCAATGCTTGTTTGGCAAACAGAGGAGGATTTACCCGTTACTGACTTGGTTGTGATGCTGTGGTAACTTTGCTGTTTGACCCCGGGTATCATTTTACCCTTATAATGGTCAGTCTGTGCCTTACTTAGTCTAACGATCATTTGGAATAAATCGATGAATGTGAACTTCATTTCATTTTGTCATTTGTTTCTTCGTCAGTTTCATTAGGTGACTTTAATAACACTTAAAAATCAAATATCCCCTACTTTTTTTGAATAGTATATATAGACAGGTCTCAAGGTAAAGAAGAAGTTTTTTCCTGAAAAGATTTAAGTTATTTAAAGTTTTTAAAGAGGGTAGGAAAGAAATCCAGATTTTGGGCCCTTTAAAGCGAAGGCCTATACTGTTTTTAATCATATTAATATACTCTTCAAAAAAAAGTAGGGGATATTCAGAAACAATACAAAACTGCGGAAATGCACTGCTGTTTTTATTAGAGGTAACCAGTGTATGATAATAACAGGCCAATTGCCTACACATGAACATAAACAGTTCATACGGGCGACTTATCTGACGGCCCCATTTCACTCGCAAAGACATACACTGTCAAAAGTGAAAATGGACGTTTTTGATTTTTGTCTTAATAATGAGTAATTGCTCCACCAATCCTCAGACATTCAGCAATTCGCCGTGGCATGCTCCTAATCAACCGTCCAATCACGATTTGGGGCAATCTGGCCCACTCCTCTTGCACAAGTTGCAGTGCCACGGCCAATTCTTGCAGTGTTGTCGGTTGACGTTGACGTCGACGAACACGTCTCCCGATCAAATTTTAAGTAGCTAAGTCTCTAACTCAATATCATCCAAAATCTTCAACATTGAAAACACGATTTGTTTTTCAAATTAAATCAACATTCATGTTGTGATCTTACCGGGAAAAGATGGGCTTTTGATATCCAATATTTAAGACAAAATAAACATTTTACCATTGGTACACGAATCGTGTACCATAATACGCTTCAGCCCCAGTTGTATCAAGAGACTCGAGGGACGAGGCCAGATACATTCATATTACAGTATTATATGCGTTGCGACCCACTTTTGTCAATTTCTAGGCCCCACAAACATGGATAGGATAAACAAGCAAGCGGCAGTTTTCATCAACCCTTGTCAAATTTGACAATGAACTCCTCCCACGTGTATGGCGCTATTGCGTGTCGAACATGCAGCTCAGTGGTTTTGTTGGGGCGATAAGTTCTTCATCTGTGAACTACTCAAGTGTCCACGACTATTTATCATATCACTACCTGCATAGGTATTTGCATTTCAATACCCCCTACTTTTTTTTTTGAAGAGTATATTTGGCTTGATTGTAGTAAGTTTATTGTTAACTTTTGATGTTTGATGACAAAAAACCAATGTTGACAAGGGATCTTTAACGTGCACGCCAATTTGTACACGGGACCTCGGTTTTTTGTCCCATCCGAACGACTAGACAGCTGTCCTTGTCAGGCCCTCCGTCCTGCATCACAGACAAGGGGAAACCACGCCGGCGACGAGAGGTTTAAAAAAAGAACCAAATTTCTTCAAATAAAATAAGGGGTTGGATGGTCGAATGGTTAGCACGTGCGCGCTGTATCTTAGGGTCTGTCAGAGTCGACTGGCGTGGTTTCGATTCCCCGGTTGTACGCGACAAGGAGTAATTAGGGTCGCCTGTCCAACCTCGTGGGTTCTCTCTGGGTTATCCCGTTTCCTCCCAATGCTAAAGACCCCTACGCGCAAGCGAATTATTGAAAAAAAATTCAACCATGTCGGTCCATGCATGGACGTTAAACCCCATCTCCCTCTCTCTCTCTCTTTCTCTCTCTCTCTCTCAAATAAAATAAAGATATATGTTGTCACTCGGGCAACAGAAGACCTCCGAATGCAGGAGTCGCTAAAATCATAGGAGGCAGACGTACCACACAGAGCCATTAAATCACCATCGATCGGTACCCACCACCATTAAATTTCACCATCTCGGTACCCCTCTCTCTGTCTCTTTTCTCCCCTTTTGCATGCCCATTTTTGTTGGTGTTTTGGTCTAGAATGGACGAAGAGGGTTTGAATTAACATTTTCTGCCAGGTTTGGGTAAATATTCATGATTTTGAGGCGGAAGGGTAACGGGGTTATCAGGTTGGCTACTGTGATATGTACGGCAACTAGTTACATGTTTTTAGTATGCTTCTTCAAGTTTGTGTATCTCAAAATTTTGGTGGTCAACCCCATACAAATTTTAGTGCAAAGATATGACCATTTGTTCCTCTGTCTGTAGTGAAAAGCATTTAGCCCAACGAAAATTTGGGGAAAAGTTGGAGGTGAGCAAAGAGGCCAGAATTAACATTGAAGTCAATGGGGAAATTAATGGTGGTCTGCCTCCATAAAATGAAGCCAGGTGCTCCACCATTGCTAGGTCTATTTGTTAAGTCCAGCTCAATTTTCGTCAAGGTCACTGAGGTGTAAGTAATGTTAGGGCACGTGACTGTTGGCGAGATTGTAGGTTAGGGTTAAGGGCAAGCGTTAGGGCTAGTTCCAGGGTCAGGGTTGGGATTAGCGCTAGCCCTGTTTACATTTCGTGACCTGTGACCAAACTTGAAGATGGCCTTATCAAATAGATCAAACCGCTCGACCACGTCACTGTGCTCGACCATCGTTCTAGTGTGTGTTCTCCACTGCTCCAACCACAAAAATTTATGGCTCCAATCACTATTACAACACAAGACTAATTCTATTTCTATTATTAGTTATTTTTAAAAAATCTAGATCTAGCCTTGACCTACTTCATTTTCGTGAGTTTTTTCTGTTGTAGTTATTAATCACAGGTTTACTTCAGTATTTCGTTTCGTTTAATTCTCAAATATGCACAGATTATTGCTACCAGATACGTCATTGATTTCATGCTCCGCACCGCAATAAAAACACCTACTGTCACCTAGGTCTATTCGTAAACATTCAGGTGTAAGACCTGCTCAATTTTATTGAGTGTTTCTGTTTAGCTGAGATGAGAGGTGGTATATATGCAATCTGATGTAAGTTTATGTCAAAAAGTTTTACTTGCAGAAAGATGTGTAGGATGACAAACTAAAAAAATCCATTGTACGCTAGCCTACCAGTACCACATCAGTACATGGCCACGGCAGATGGCAGGTACTATGGCTATAATAATTGATGGATTGGACCTTGGTCACTCATTGGATGAAGTATTGGATTGTTGCTGCAGAAAATAAATTTTGATAGATTACGCCAAATAAGATGCATTGAAATTTACTTTCATTTGAAGTTGAAGATGGACTATCTGTATAATGGGGCTACTTAAACTTACTTATTAGTAAATAGTATTAGGCTCTCATCAAGTATGTCGACTGGAGTACGCCGTACCAATCTGATTAAAGTACAGATCTATATTTCGTTTTTTTTTATTTTATACTTTCGATGGCCTACACTACATGAAGATCTGACCAGTTTTACTGAAAGCTCGCGTCAGGGGTCGTAAGAGTGGCTGTTGACCCTATGACGTCAGACATTGATTAATCAATCAGCGTTGACGTTTCTAGTGGTTTACCCACAGCTCCATGCATGGTAAGCCAAGAAGTCGCCGTAACAGATGGTTTCATTGGCTAATACCTCACGCCATCCAGAATGCATGTTATATAACAACTCTTTCAGATCCTATAGTGTAGTACAGACAAATAAAACAAAATTTTGAACTATAAAAAATGAAACAAAATAGGACCTGTGTTTTGGTAGGCCTACTGGACATATTATCTTATTTGTCTTTTGTTTGAATTGCAGGTAGTCCCGTGTTCAATCCATGTTGACCAATTTTCCGGCATAGCTCCTCTTTGTCAATGGTCCTAGGGTTATGGGACAACACAATGATTGTAATAGTCATTCAGACGTGAGGTTCTGAACATAATAGTTGTTCAGATGTGATGAAAAACCAGGGTCTTATGTTCACATTCTTGTGCACGTAAATTAAGAACCCTTTACTACACATGAAATTCGATATAAAAGTAGGCTGTAGTGCCACTGCATCCGGGCAAAATTTCCCTCAAAGTTCACTGTATGACATATGCCCGTTTCATTGCATTTCAGTTCTTGTTTTTAACAAATGAAAGATAGCTAATAACAAAACAAATTAAACATTAGTTGCATAATGACCCACTTGTTTGTTGACATTATTAATTCCAATACTTTGTAATAATAGCCTACATAGAACATGTTAACACTGTGAAATTATAATACTTTCTTCTTTCAGCTATCGAAGTAAACACATGTTCAATCTGAACTGAACGCAGTTTAGTTGTATCAAAAGTTATTGGTTTATAAAAGGAAAAGTCATGGTTGTATTAAAAGTTCTAACACTCAACTGTTGGTTAGTGTTTCTCATTTTATATTTTTATATGCCCACATTTAAGTGGAGGGGCGTATTATGTCATCTCCCATGCCTAACAACAATTGGCTCGTTAATGTAATAGAGGCTACAGTTTGTAACAGAATTAGTGTTTTACCCCCTAGCTTAAAAGCATTAGGGTGAGTTAGCACCCTTTTCTGAAAACCTTGTTAATGAGATACAGGCTACAGTTTTTTACAGATTTTATTCAAAGTATTAAATTTGGTCGACATCAAAGTTTTTCTTCGAAGATAAGCTGCTTTTGAGATTCAGAAATTCTGAGCTATATATCATTCCCTTCATTTAGTAAGATTTGCTTGTATGAAGAAGTACTGTACCTCACCCGCAAACTAATTAGTCCTCACAAAAAAAATGCTATTTTCAAGAACCAATTACATTTCTTGAAGCTTGAAGTTATGGAATAACAATTAAAGCTAACAGAATATTAACTAATATTATAGGCCTGTTTGATCAGACAATGGGGATTTGTCTATTTGAATATATGCCAAGTTAATGTAAAGCAGGATTAAGGCAGAAAATAAAACTTGGAATATATTTGTTGTGTTTATTTTAGGGGAATTGAAGTACCCATTGTATGTAAATATCGACACCAACGTATGCTAGCTATTGGAAATTTACTGAGTAATGGAGAGTATGACATTTTGTTTTTACAAGAGGTAAAACAAACATTATTATTTTTTATCATCTTATTGATTGATGTACCAGTACATAAATTAAATATTATATAAGATCATAATCTTGTCTTTGTTTGTAACTTAAGCTAACCTTGTATATGCAGTTATGCATTTCCTCAGAATGTTGCTTTTAAAATCACATCACAAGAGTCAAGTGTTAACTGGTAAAGGTATAAGATAATAGTTGAAGTTTGTTTTATTATTTATATTTTGAGGTTTGGAGTAATTCAGATTATAAACTACTGTCTGATAAATTAGGCAGTTCATTGCCCTATTCTCATTATTTTCATAGGTGAGTATAATAACATTGTTTACATCTATATCTCATCGTAGATAACTTGTTTTTATGCAGGTCCTTTATTGTGAGAGAGAGATATAGGGTTTAACATCCATATAACACAAATTAGGTCAAAATGGGCATCCTCGCTAGAGATAACAGGGTATTATTTATAGGAGACACCACAGGGGAGGCAGTCCCACGTGACCTCATTGTTTACCTTACAGCATTGTTTTCCTGTACATTCATTAGGAACTGGTCTATGGACAAACAATAGTTTTTGCTGTTAAAATAGAATTTAATCACGATATGTCGAAACACAGTTCTCTTACCATCAACAAGGTCGCATGGAACCAAGTTTCTACTAGTGACGTTGGGTGGGAATTCCTTCAGTGAGAACGCCCATTCGCTTACGCATAGGTTTTTATACACCCGTATTGAAATGTGGTCGTATATTGTCGTCGCCCCCATCCATCTGTCTAAAGGCTAAATTTAATATCTGATTGAATTTAAATTTATGCACAGTGTTTACGGTCATGAGACGAAGAAGCCTATTAATATTCACCGTTTTCCGATAATTACTGCCAGAATTGTGGCCATTGATCACTTTTTAAAAAATCTTGTGGACACTCCTGTGGCTAAAGTTAATATCCGATTGATTTAAAATTTAGACACAGTGTTTAAGGTCATGAGACGAAGAAACCTATTGATTTTCACCAATTTCCGATAATTACTAGCATTTTTAACCTTGATCACTTTGAAAAATCTTGTGGCTGCTCTCAAGGTTAAATTTAATATCCGATTGTCTTTAAATGTATACACAGTGTTTAAGGCCATCAGACAAAGAAGCCTATTATTGATTTTCACCAATTTCCGATAATTACTGGCAGAGTTATGACCCTTGATCACTTTGAAAAATCTTGTGGACGCTCTCAAGGCTAAAGTTAATATCCGATTGACTTTAAATTCAACACAGTGTTTAAGGTCATCAGCCATCAGGTCATGATTTTTATACGTCCACATAGAAATGTGGATGTATATTGCCGTCGCCCCCCTCCGTCCATCCATCGTCCACAATTTCTTGTGAACGCTTTAACGCCAAAAGTTATTATCCAATTGTTTTCAAATTGATATATGTTGTTTACATTAGTGAGATAAAGAATCCGATTTAATTTCAATAATTTCCGTTTATAACGTCTAGAGTTATGGCCCTTGTTTCACTTTGTTGAACCTTGTGAACGCTCTAATGCCAAAAGTTAACATTCGATCTTTGAGAAATTTATATGCAATATTTAAATTAGGGAAACGAAGAAGTCTATTGAATTTCAGCAATTTCCGTTTATTACTTCTAGAGTTACAGCCCTTGTTATCATCCTATCTGTCTGAAATTTATATGCATTATTTAAATTAGTGAAACGAAGAAGCCTATTTAATTTCAATATTTTCCGTTTATAACGTCTAAAGTTATGGCCCTTGTTTCACTTTGTTGAACCAAGTGAATGCTATAATGACAAAAGTTAACATTTGATCTTTGTGAAATTTATATGCAATATTTAAATTAGGGAAACAAAGAAGCCTATTGAATTTCAGCAATTTCCGTTTATTACTTCTAGAGTTATGGCCCTTGTTTCACTTTGTTTAACCTTGTGAACGCTCTATCTTTCTGAAATTTATATGCATTATTTAAATTGGTGAAACGAAGAAGCCTATTGAATTTCAGCAATTTCTGTGTATTGCGTTTAGAGTTTTGGCCCTTGTTTCACTTTATTGAACCATGTGAACGCTCTAACGCCAAAAGTTATCATCCGATCGTTCTGAAATTTATATGCTTTATTTAATAAGTGAAACGAAGAAGCTTATTGAATTTCAGCAATTTCTGTTTATTACGTCTAGAGTTATGGCCCTTGTTTCACTTTATTGCTCTACTAACATCAAAAGTTATCTGCCGATCTGTATGAAATTTACATGCATCATTTAAATTAGATTAGAGAAACTTATCATCCGATATGTATGAAATTTATATGCATCATTTAAATTTGTGAAACAAAAAAGCCTGTCAAATTTCAACAATTTCTGTAGATTACTTTCAGAGTTGAAACCCTTGTTTCAATTTGTAGGGGGGATCTCACTGGCTAAGTGGTTAAGACACTGGCTTGCTAGCCTGGAGGTCGGGTGTTCGATCCCTGCATTGGCCGAGAAAGTTCATTCAGATTTCCCGGCGTGGTCACCCCTTGTCAGTGATGCAGGATGGAGGGCCCCGACAAGGACAGCTGTCTAGTCATTCGGATGAGACGAAAAACCGAGGTCCCGTGTACACATTGGCGTGAACGTAAAAGATCCCTTGACAGTTGGAATTCAATATAAGGGTAGGCCGTAGTGTCGCTGTCCGGGCAAAATTTCCACTCATAGCACACTGTATGGCGTATGCCCGTCTTCATTAGCCCAGTTAGGAGCAGAACAGTAGGACGTTAAACCCCATTTCATTTCATTTCATTTCAATTTGTAGATCCTTGTGAACCCTCAAACGGCAAAAATTATAATCTGATCTGTATGGAACTGTCTTGTAAAGGCCCCCAATTCCCTACAAAGGAATAAATATGCGACAATGCTTGTCGATCGCTCGGACAATTTAGCTGCTGTGGGCGTATGTTTTGTTGCCTGGCAACCTATCTTATATTTATACACCATATTTACACCTATACATAATCGCTTTGATTGACTTTATAAATGTTTCATTACTAACAAAAGTTGACTGCCCAGAAGATTTAGCTGCTATGAGCTTATGTTTCGTTGTCTGGCAACCTATCTTTAGTTGTGGGAAGAAATTGGAGGACCCTGAGGTTGGATAGGCGACCCTAATCCTTGTCACTTACAAGTCTGGGATTGAACCATGACACTTGATCTAAAGAGTGAGGCCGCTCTACAACCCAACCCTCTTCTATACGGGTATATTGTATACCTTATGGTCATTTCTTCAGAATTATGGGTGATAATATAGAAAGTTAAATAAAATGAAACTTGCGCTGCAGTTGTAATGGAGCTTGTAAAAAACTATCTTAAATTCTGACGTCCACGACTCCAGTTTCCATAATAATAATAATTATTTTCTAGAGCGCTGAACATTCAGTCAATTTGATTCTTTTGTGGTGCTTTACAAAGGATATAACAGACAACAACAAGTAAAACAAAATTATCTGACATTCACAACTGCATGTTCAAACATGAGTATGGAAGTTACAACAAACAAATATAAGACATTAGTATGAACAAAATTTAACCAAAAGAACATTTGATGTACATTTGATCCCTAGAGCTATAATGTGATATGCTGTAATGTTTGTTTTTCAGTGGTGCTATAGGAAGTGGATTGTGCATTTTTTCAAAGTTTCCAATCGTAGAAACTTTATTTCATCGTTTTCAAATCAATGGATTCCCTCATAAAATCCAGCATGGCGATTGGTTTGGTGGTAAAGGTGTTGGTTTATGTAAAATACAAGTAGAAGATTTTGATATTAATCTATATATTTCTCACGTAAGTTATGTTGTTATAACTACCATCAAAATATACTGTATAAACTTATACTGACCAACTCATAACTACCATCAAAATATTCACAATGATTTGCTCATAAACTTATAATGTTCATAATGACCAGCTTATATAGATGAAGAAAGTGTGTGCCCAGTTTTAATTCACTTAAAAAGTCTCTTGATAGTTGGAACTAACAGAAGAGTACAGGAATGCAAATTGAACGCATGACCATAAAAAATTAATCTTATCGTTAAATTCTGAAACAACAACAGAATTTCAACACTTGTCTACAGTTAGTGTTTAAATCTTGTGATCCAAAAATGAAATGAAATGGGGTTTGTTTAACGTCCTACTGTTCTGCTCCTAACCTGGGCTAATGAAGACGAGCATACGGCCTACTCTTATATCGAATTCCAAATGCCAAGGGATCTTTTACGTGCACGCCAATGTGTACACGTGACCTCTGTTTTTTGTACCGTCTGAACGACTAGACGACTGTCCTTGTCAGGCCCTCCATCCTGCATAACTTACATGGGGAAACCACACTGGAAAATCGGGATGAACTTTCTCGGCCAATGCAGGGATCGAACACCCGACCTCCAGGCTAGCGAGCCAGCGTCTTACCCACTTAGCCACGTGATCCCCCATCTTGTGATCCCTCCCTGAATCCCAAATAAATTCTTCTCTGCTGCTGATAACTAGAGATAAATTGTAAACAATTTTAACACCAAAATGGGTTAAAACAGCAAAAATGAAATTTAATGATTAGCCAAAAGACAGTCATATTCCTTGCAAATTTCTAAGTGAAATCTTTCACTGTGTAATATGTTAGTACCTTTATACAAAATACTATATATAAATTATCTTATTTCCATTTAGTTACATGCCGAATATAGCCGTACAAATGATGTATATTTGTCTCACAGGATTTCGCAATCGTTTGAATTAAGTCAATTTATAAAGCATACCTCTCAAAACTGTCATGTGACTATTTTTGGTGGAGATTTGAATCTACAGACAGATGATTTAGGTTATAAGATTATAACATCTACAGCATTGTTAGCAGATGCTTGGATAACTAAGGTAAAACTGTTAACAAAATACTTATATCTCCATTTAATACGGGTAAAGTTCTTTACAAGAAGATTCTTTTAGTTGATTCAACATTTAATATGGTTCTATACTGCCTTATCTTCCACTCATTCACGTTTCCTGATGAAAACACTGGAGTAGAAGACATTTTAATGTTTTCATATGTTGCTGTCACTCTTTCTGACTGTTGGTTTTCTATAAACACCTCCAGAGTTATTCAGCTTTGTTATTCGATCGAATCTTTCTGAAATGTTTATTGATGTCTATCCTATTAAAAGAAAGAACCGTATGGATTTTTAACCAGTTTCCGAGAATAACCTCGACTTGTTTCCCCATTTGTTACAAAATCTTGTTAGCATGTTATAGGCAGGCATTAATTATGATCTGATCTTTTTGAAATTTTATTAGTTGTTTAGCTGTTTGAATATGGCATATGTTTTGTTGCTTGGCAACCAGTGAAGAATTGAAAACTGACAAATCAAAAAGATCTGGGAATGGTCCATGTCATTGATTGCTGTGAAATAAAGACTCAACAAATATTTTAGTTTTTGGTCACATGAGGTTATTATAAACAGAAATAGTCAACATTAACTAGTATAAATACTTGTGATATATCTTTTTTGACAGTGTCAATTTTATTACATGTATTATCAATTGTACAAATAGATGACGACTGTAATTCCTATTGCCAGTAGCAGGATGATTATTATCAATGTTTTATTTAAACGGTAGAATGTCATAGGCTATAGGTTCAATAGCTAACTGTATGTATTGATTACTAAAATATTTATTATGTTTAATTGTAGAAATCTACAAAAACAGAAAAAGGCTTCACATGTGACAGAAAAGAGAATTACTTTACATCAGCAACTGATTATCCCGATGGTCAGAGAATAGATTATCTATTGTATAGATATAATAATGGTGAGTATATACTTAAGAACAGTTTATCTGTATTTATACTAGCTATATATAGGCCCCATTCAAAAATGTTGATTCTGAGTAGTTTGGAAATGTAGTTGTGAAATTATAGTAAATACCTATATGTAGAATATTTAAACATTTATGCAAGAGCTAAATCTGCCTATTGCAGGTCTTTCTTTAGGTCTGAAATGTTTTCTAAATTATTAATTAGACATTTATTAACATGACAAGACCATAATCAACACTTGATGCCATCGGATATCTCCGATGTTCAGTAGATTAGAATGGTTCAGCCATATTTTGATTTAATTTAAAAAGGAAGTGAGGCTAAGCTTCGAAAAATCAGTGCCATGGTTGCAATTAATGAACACATCTTGTCAAACCTTCAAAAGCTAATATCTTCGCTCACAGTGGAGCAGTTTGAATGAAATTTTCAATAAATTCATTTTGCATTATCTATTTTCTAACTATTATAGTAAGAATGGACAGCTCTTTACCTGAATCTTACATAATGTATCTTTAACTTTTAGTATATGGGTCATTAATCAGATCTCATAAGTGGTAGCTATGGCACTTGTACATATTAATTATTTATTGTTTTACATAGGTTATAAATCTTGTTGTGTTTTAAATTATAGATCTTGTTTATTTCTAAATCTTATTTTCATCTAGATCATCACAAGGCTTGTCATGTTTAAGTTATAAGTCATGTTATATTCTAATTCTTAATATTTTCTTTATAGACCATAAGGCTTGTTATTTTCTGGGTTATAAATTGTGTTATTTTCTAGATTATCAATCCTGTGATATTTTAGTTTATCAATCCTGTGATATTTTAGGTTATAAATCTTGTATTATAATAAGTTATAAATCTTGTTATGTTTTAGGTTAAAAATCTTTTATTATAAGTTATAAATATTATTATTAGTTATAAATCTTATTATAAGTTATAAATCTTATTATAAGTTTAAAATCTTATTATAAGTTATAAATCTTGTTATAATTTAGGTTATAATGTAAGTGTAGAAGAATGTAATGTATTATATCACCAAGTACCCGGACAGTGTTATCCTATATCTGATCATGAACCAGTTGTTGCCAACTTTACAATAGACAAATCACCCAATTCAAAAGGTACAGTAGAGTGTAGTGATTAAACTGACTTGTTCATTGCTTGTAGTGTTTATAGGATTTATTACATATATTAATTTTAGTGTTTAAGGGGTTAATTGGTTGTACTGACTTCAAATTAGGGTACATCAGTCTGATTCCCACTGATACAAAATGTAAATGATTGAATGACTCTGTGCATTATTTTAAAGATATATATATAAATATTTACATGTTAAACATACTGCTTTAGTTCTAAAATATGTAATAATTTACCTGAGAAACAAAACCAAAAGTGGCACTAGTGCCAAGGTTTAACCTCAATAAAAACTATAGCATATCTCTTGCGATAGCGGGGTTGGATGGCCGAATGGTTAACGCATGCGCACTGTATCATAAGTATTCATAAGGTCTGTCATTGAGTCAACTGGCATGGTTTCGATTCCCTGGTTGTACGTGACAAGGAGGGGGTCACCTGTCCAACCTCATGGGTTTTCTCAGGGTTTTGCTATGCACAAGTGAATTATTGAATTAAAATTGAACCATATGTTAGTCCCGAAATGACCTAGTTTGTGTCAAGTGGATATTAAACTCTCTCTCATGCCATACATGTTGTCAAGGTTTAACCCTCAATACAAACTAAGCGATATATAGTGCCAAGGTTTAACCTGAATGTAATTTATATATTATCTCCTGCAAGATTTCCTTCATAAAGCCCTGAATATTTAATTAAATTATAATCAGTTACATTACAATCTCAACACTATTATGTACTATTACTAATAGACAAAAGCTTATTGGACATTGTTAGCTGATGATATTATTTCTGAATTTATTTGTTTAAAAAGATTAAATTTTGGAAGGGGTCAGATGTCAAACCAAAGAAGAGAAAGAGTACTCTTGAAAAACAAAATCAAAAGTAAAGTATAGAATTTACATGATTATAATTTCAGGATTTGCTGAATCCATAACACAGGTTGGTAGAAATCAGCATTTACAAGATGCACTGGAGAAACTAGACACAGGAATGAAAGAGATTCGAAATGATAGAATGTTTTTTTCTATTTTATGTGTGATAATGATTGTATTAGTATTTATTATACCAAGTTGTGAGTACTATAGTATTTTAACAATATTATTATCACTTATAGAAGTAGTGTTGGTTCTTGGTGCAGGATTTTCTGTCATCTATGGTTTAGTCATTAAACTGTCGGAAGAAAATTCCTTGTACAGCACAAAGTCTGACATTTTAAATCTTCTCGGAAAACCTATCAAACAGTAATATCCTGTTACATGGCCTGTAATAATTGTTGTAAGCAAATATTATTCAAATCTATCAATTCTCTCTAAGCCTTAAATATAAACATGAATTTTGTTTTTAAAAACACCCCGAAAAGCTGAATATTAAGTAGCTAAAAGCTTATATTATTTATACCTTCTGATTCATTGATGACATAATACCTATCAATGATAATAGAACTTTCAACAAATATGAACATAGTCTGTTTCCCTAAACTAGTCCCCAATAAAGAAAATACCCTAAATGAATATAGATAATGATAAATTTAATGTCAGAATATTTGACTAAAGGACAAATTTGGTTTTTAAAAATTGTAAAACACGCTTCCCATAATAAAAAGTAACACACCAGATGCTACTCTATATAATGTGTAATATTTATAGACACATAATAATAACCACAGATAACTATTTTTAACTGTATGTAAAGAAAGAACTATTCTAAAGAACTATTCTAAAACAACTTTTTTTGTCTTTTCAATGCACTGCTAAATTTCGAAACTTACATACTTTTTTTTTAACATTCCAAGATTGACATTTTTTACATGTATATAGCTGATCATATTTGATGCAGTGATACAGTTAAATTATATAATATTTTTCTCCTACCATTCACTAAAAAAGATGTGCACGAAATAATATAATCGCTAAATATAATGAGTAGGCTTACTGTCTTAACTTTATTATTATCACAGGGATGCAATACGCCATGTCTAATCATTAATAGCACCAAAGGTTAGCCACCCCTGCACTAGAATAATAAAATGTTTGGGAAATAATCTTTTTTCATGTTCTACTTTTTGTGAGTGCACATCCATTCACTTAAATTGATAGTGCTATTATTTATTACTTAAAATGTCTGCGTATTATGTGTGTGATATGTGTTGCGTGGTGCAGTTTTTCTGCACTTAATATTAAGTTATGAGTATTTAAGATTTACACTATTTTTCTATTTTATTCACGCCACCATCTGTGTGTCTTAGACAAATAAAGGAATAATAATTTTGCCACCTTTCTTGTACAAGCCAGTCCATTCTTCATAATGTTTTGTTTTTAATACTCAGGTGTGCTAATTAATTACATAATAACAGTGTTTACAATGAAGAACTAATTTTTGAAATGTTAAATTTTTTGAATACAAGTACAAGTAAATATTATGCTATATATCCTTGGTTCTCAACCTCTAGGTTGCGACCCCAGCTGGGGTTACCAAGCACCTTTCGTGGGGTCGTGGCGGACTACACTGAAACTTTTAAAAAAAAGTTGTTTTATGAAAAGCATATAAATCTGTCATCTATACACCTCTTCCCATTTTGCCAATCGTCATTCCTCCATTTTTATAAAGGTGTAAAAATGCCAAGAATAAGTTGTCAAATATGTAAAACAATAATAAATATAAACAAAACTCCGAAGGAGTACTGACATGTTTCGGTAGGTCAGGTCACGCCTTGTCCCGTCAACAATCAAGTTACACCATGAATTAATGAGTATAGTTACAGCCAATACCAATTAAAGTGGAAAAACCTGTCATTTTGAACTCTTAATAAAACTGGAAGTTATACTTCAAGATCGAACTTTTTGATATTAACGGTTAGTTGACATCAGGGTCATCATAATATATACAAAGATCAAGGGTCATTGAAAGGTTAGGTCACCAAACAGAAGATCAAAAGTCAAACAAAATTCAAAGTGAAACTGGAAGGAAACGAAATCGAAATTAAAAAATCAGCTCCCTAAGAATTGTTGCCATTTGGAGTAGGTTCAAAACAAAATAAAGTTTTAGAAAATCGGAATGGCAACTGAATATTGATTTGAAGGTTTTTTGTAAAATCCGATATGGCGGCCAAAAGGTTGAAAATGTTATGAAACAAGGTCTCTGAAAATGAAAGATAATATCTTGGGCTAACACTACCATATGTCATTTTTGGTCTATTTTTAAAATGGAGAGAACTGCTCATGTTTGGAAAAAATCGGAAGGCATCTGTAATTTCCAGAAGTTTTTGGAAGCCATCACAAAAATTCTTAATATGCCATTGTGAAGAATTCCTTATGCCTACCAGGTTTCAACTTGATACCCCAAATAGTGACAGAGAGACGCCATCTAGAATGTCGAAAAAATGATGATAAAAAACTTTGACGCTAAAACTAATGAAGCGGATTTCGAAAAGCCGTCAGAGCCCATATGGGATACGTCTAAAGAATCAAAAAATGAAAACCCGAAGAAGAAAGAATGGAGATAGGGACAATCTAAGATTATTTTTTGTCCCATCCGTAAAACACTTCCTGTTTGTCAAAAATAACCCAATTTATATTTAATGAATTTTATATTGGCAGAATGTTTGCTCCATACACAGTTATGGCTGCAAAATCCCACTAGGACCCCCCCCCCCCCCCAAAAAAAAACCCCAACAAACTAAACAGTACCCAATAAAAATCATTACAAAAACAATGTTCCGACCGAAGGTCCGAAACACCTAATAATGAATGATAAAGGATTACTTTGTTCTTCGAGGGGTGGCAATCAGATGCTAATTTCTGTAATGGGGTTGCAACCAACCTAAGGTTGGGAAACACTGCTATCTGGTTTTCAAAACAACTGCCTGTTTCTGCAAAGGTGCAATTGTCCACTAGTAATGTAAATATTGGATTTAGTTATTTTAAAAGGTAAGCATATGATACTACTAGAAAATATTTGTCAAAAATGAAATAGTAGATTTCATTGGATTTTATGTCTTTAATGAAAATTTGACATCAATAGATAAAAGCCTGTGTTGAGAATTGAGATATAACCAATTTAATGATAAAGAGCTTGGTTTATCACTAATTGAAAAAAAAACTTCTGATAAATCCCCGATTGAAAACTTTGTTTTGACCCAAATTTTTAATTGTACCGAATAAATACAATCATTGATATCAGGGCCCTTATTCACGAAAACTTAAACTAAGATACAATCGAAATTTTAAGCAATACTGAAATTAGATTGGGTGACCAATATGCAAATTGATTTTACTGGTCAGCCAATCGAATTGCAGTATTTCTTAAAATTTCGATTGTATCTTAGTTTAAGTTTTCGTGAATAAGGGCCCTGGATTTAAACGAAGATCTCATTCCATTTCTCTAAGTATGTATAGCATTTATTATCAGTGCTTAACATGTTTTGTTTTATATCGGGGCGACAAATTAATTTTAATTTTTATAAAAATATTTATCAGGACCAATTTTAATTTTTATAAAAATCTTTATTTATACACCAGACATGTCCATAATTTGTCCTTTTATCTAGCTGGTGAAAAGGGAGTATTTTTTTGTCCATGTGTTGCATAATAAAAATTTGGTATATTTATTCAGACATACTTGTTTGATTTTATCTGTTCCATTCATATTGTAAAACTATATATATATTTCTTTATATTTTCAATGAGTTTCAATATTAACACAATACATCAATTGTTTGCAGGGTTGTTGCCCTTTGATTCAAGTGAACCTCTAAATTGGTGTTTTTTTTTGTTTCTACTTTTAGTTTATGTAACTGCATTTATGTTGTAATTATGACTTTAATTAAGAAGATGTTGTAATTTTTGATATAAGTTTTATCTGTTTTTATATGGTTGTATGTTGTTTTCCCTGCCGTCATTCAACACTTACCTTTATGTACACCATAGAACTAAGTTATTAACTTAGTTACCAGTAGTTTTTGTGTAAATATGGTTCCCCATCTCGTTTCTCAAAAGTACATATAGTTATAGAATTATATGGCCCCTGACTGATAGTCACGCTTCTAATTTTCATCAAATTTTTAGGAATACTTTGTATTGGGGTGAGGAGCGTACCTGTATATTTTTAGCGTTTTCTAAACGGTTCAGTATGGCCCCCAACTAATATGATTGCTGATAAACGTACATTACTCATGAATAACTACTACTAAAGATAATCCCTGTCGAAAAATCTTGTTGGAGGACAGAGCTGCTGGTGAGCGTATGTTACCTTGCCTGGTAAGCTACCTTTTGTTATGTTTATGATTTACAATTGTCTTAGGTAAAATATACTTAGTTCTCAGAGTATTGTAGAATATTAAAGATTCAATAAATTCTCCATCACTTGATATTTTGTAAGGATTCTGAAATGACAATCAAGTTGCTATGAGCAGGCTATGCCTCATTGCTGTTTTCAATGTGGAAGTGTTTTGGTTTTCAATATGCCCAAACTGCTTGTGGGAGTATACTGTTGTCACCCCCATCCATCTACTTCATACTTTGAGATATCTGCCTTGAATGGTAACCATATCTAAAATTAGTATACTATTGTTTAATGCAGTTCTACACCAAGAACAAATAAACCTTTTCAATTGAATCAATGCGGAATAAATACTTCTCAAAATTCTCGAAGTATACATAGTGTTTTCGACTAAAATCGTTGATGTCAGTCAACTAGTATTTTGTCACCCCTGTCTGTTTAACGTTTTGCAATATAAACATATATTTTAAGCTTCATCAAAAGCAGACAAAAAATTGTGACCTCTAGCGGGTCAACAAGCTTGGTATTACATACTTTTAGACTATTTGCGTACAAGGAGTGGCAATTTTGTCCAGTCAGATTTTTAAGAAATTCAAACTCAACCTTCATTGAGGTGTAACGGTTTTTATACGCCCACATTTTCATGTGGACGTATTATGACGTCGCCCCTGTTTGTCCGTCCACAATTTGTTTGTGGACACTCTACAGGTCATAATTTTTATCTGATTTTGACGATCTCGTTTCCTTTCGGTATCGGCTTGTATCGGAGCATAAGGTCATGGATTATGGCCCGCGATTGTTCGAAAAATCACGTTTTTAGCTTGTGGACACTCTAGAGGTCACAATTTTCATCTGATTTTGATGAAAGTTGAAATGCATGTTTATAACCCAAAGATCTTGGTTCTTTTCGATACATGCACATATCGGATTGTAACCTCCTGAATTATGGCCCCTGATTGTACGAAAAATCACATTTTTATCTTGTGGTCCCTGAGAGGTCACAATTATTATTATTATCGTGAAAATTGGACCAAAACTGCCGGACAAAATGGCCGCCCCTCATAAGCTAATTTTGATGAAACTTGAAATGCATCTTGGTTGTTTTTAATATTTGCGCATATCGGATCGTAACTTCCTGAATTATGTTTTTAGCGTGTGGTCAGGAGCCATAATCCAGAACTTATGGTCCGATATGCGCTAATATAGAAAGGAAACGAGATCTTTAGGTTATAAATATACATTTCAAGTTTCATCAAAACAAACTAAAAACATGATTTTTCGTACAATCAGTGGCCATAATCCATGAAATTATGGTCCGATATATGCCAATTTCAACAGGAGATACACCTATATTTCAAGTTTTGTTAAAATCGGATAAAAATTGTGACCTGTGGAGGGTCAATAAACAAAATGTGAACAGACGGACAGGGGCGACGACAATATACATCCACAGTACATGCAGCTGGAGTATCTGAGAACAATATTTTTTTTATGTGTCCATGTATTCATGGAGCAGATTGTTTGGGCAAAAGATAAAGAAAAACTGCAGGTACCCATTATTAGTTTTATTCACAACCAATAAGGTAAGATGAATGACCTAACAAATACTGCTGGACCCAACAATAGAAAGCAGTGCATTATGTTATACATGTGGTTAACATATAAACTGACTAGATAGCATTACAATAATATATATTGTTATATTTAACCAATAATAAAAACACTTCAAGTCTACTGGCATTTCATAATCCATACAGATCACACAACTCTATTATTTATAAAATGAGAATATGAAATGATTTTAAATCCGAGATCAAATGAAATGAGGTTGACTAATAGCTAATAGGTCACTTTAAATTATCTGATAATGTGTGATCTATGCACAATCATGTAGCATTACTACCTAACTAAACGACACACCTGACATTATCAAGCTGTTATTAGGGCATGGGTTACGGAAAAGGGTTAAATCTGAGCCAATAAGCAACTATCTTATCAAAAGATATCAACTGAACTTAAAACCTTTATTTAACTAAATAACCAAAAGAAAATAAATAAGTCATGATATTATACTATTTGAACACATTTTTTACTCAAGAGACATACCATTTATTAAATTTTACTTTTTGAGTAAATATTGCAATTTCAGCACCCCCCCCCCCCCCCCAATACTCAGCATTGAATTCTGTAAAGATATTCACCTAGAAGTACAGTAAAGTTATTGTATTCCAAATGGTATATCTGCAATATCACCCTCTGTGGAAGGTACCTTAAGCATTAAAGATAGGTTGCCAGGCAACGAAACATACGCCCACAGCAGCTAAATCGTCCGGGCAGTCAACAAGAGTTGTCGCATATTTTACTTTTTTTCGGTAATGAAACATTTATAATACACTAAAATCTGATTAAGAGCAACAACTCAGAAAACCATTAGAATTTGTTTAGTTTTTATAAAGTTCTGCCCCATGCTAACGTTTTGTATACAAAACTTTTAATACTGTATCATGGATTTAGCTGTTCCAAGTCATAAAAATTCATTGAAAATCAATATACTTGTTCGTCTTAAGATCTTAAACTCTGTGTATCAATCTGAAGTCAATCGGATATTAACTTTGACCTCTAGAGCGTCCACAAGATTTTTTGAAGTGATCAAGGGCCATAACTTTGGCAGTAATTATCAGAAATCTTTGAAAATCAATAGGATTATTCGCCTCGTGACCTCAAACACTGTGTATAAATTTAAAGTCAATCAGATATTAACCTTAGCCTTTAGAGCGTCCACAAGATTTTTTGAAGTGATCAAGGGCCATAACTCTGGCAGTAATTATCGGAAATCGCTGAAAATCAATAGGCTTCTTCGTCTCATGACCTTAAACACTGTGCATAAATTTAAAGTCAATCGGATATTAACTTTGGCCTCTAGAGCGTCCACAAGATTTTTAAAGTGATCAAGGGCCATAACTCTGGCAGTAATTATCAGAAATCGCTGAAAATCAATAGGCTTCTTCGTCTCATGACCTTAAACACTGTGTATAAATTTAAAGTCAATCGAATATTAACTTTGGCCTCTAGAGCGTCCACAAGATTTTTTGAAGTGATCAAGGGCCATAACTCTGGCATTAATTATCGGAAATTGCCGAAAATCAATAGGCTTCTTTGTCTCATGACCTTAAACACTGTGCATAAATTTAAAGTCAATCGGATATTAACTTTGGCCTCTAGAGCGTCCACAAGATTTTTTGAAGTGATCAAGGGCCATAACTCTGGCAGTAATTATCAGAAATCGCTGAAAATCAATAGGATTCTTTGTCTCATGACCTTAAACACTGTGTATAAATTTAAAGTCAATCGGATATTAACTTTGGCCTCTAGAGCGTCCACAAGATTTTTTGAAGTGATCAAGGGCCATAACTCTGGCAGTAATTATCAGAAATCGCTGAAAATCAATAGGCTTCTTCGTCTCATGACCTTAAACACTGTGTATAAATTTAAAGTCAATCGGATATTAACTTTGGCCTCTAGAGCTTCCACAAGACAATATACGCCCACATTGAAATGTGGTCGTATAAAAATGAATGACAGACAGGCAAACACATTTTAATAGTCCCCTTTCTAAACTAAAATACAATCCAATAAATTACTAAAATATTAAAGATACATTATGGGAGATTAGATAAAGAGATGGTAGTTCTCACTATAATAGTTAAAAACTAGATAATGTAAAGTAAATTTGCTGAAAATTTCAGGCAAATTAATTTAACCTGAACCGAGTATTTAGCGATTGAATTTTGGGCCCAGCCTCTATCATCATTACTAAAGTTGGTACATAGTCTCAATTATCCATTTTTTGATTTAATCAGAAGCAGAAGACCGGGTTCTAATCCAGTAAATTCGCAGGCTAGCGATACCATCGAGAGTAGATTATGGTCTGGATAAGTTAATTAATGTCTAATTAATAATATAGATAACATTTCAGGCCTAAAGAAAGACCTGCAATTACTCTATAACTGGCGCCAGTTTAATTAAGGCAATATAGAATAAAGGCATAGACAAATTATTATATTCAATATATGTTACATTGACAGCGAAGAAACTTCTCATGTTTCATAGTCATCTCAAAATGAAAAAAAATGTTCATTTAATTAAGCTAGATATGTTGATTGGATCTGTCTAAAACTTTGGGTCAGGACATAGACCTGGCTCGTATTCAAAGGATATCTTAAGACTAATATAGTCACTTAATTAACTACTAGATTTCACTTAAAGATACATTATGGGAGATTTTTATAGAGAGTTGGCCATTCTTGCTATAACAGTTCAAAAGTAGATGCATCAAACGTTTTTTTTTTCATCATCAGCTTTGATTTTGTAGAGCCATAATAGTGTTAGGTTACTACCACTGAAATGGTCCCGGTTTTTCCCCCCAATCATCTATCATGTTCGTATTGCTTAATCAATCATGTTTTCCACAACTGTCATATAATAAAGTTTGACGTGTTACATTTATTTGTAAATTTCACATTAGGATGCCATTCCATTGTAGTTTTGATTGCCATATGTTCTTGTCTTGGTTTGTATAAATTTACAAATATATGATGATGACTGCTGACTGCTGTGTATTCCTAATATTTTATTTTCTATTCGTTATACATTGTTAAAATAATAAAATTTACCATATCCATCATAATACTAACACTATTCGATAACTGCTATTAAAATCTATTGTTTTTGAAAAACATACATGAAAACTGCTGTTCCGACAACGAATGCGTACTATCATAATTTATCATAAATTATAGCCATACTATTTTCGTTCATTACAATATAATATTTCGACAAATATTTTCCTAGTAATGACAACTAAGATTTTAATAGAGTATAGTGGTGCTCTTAAGGGGACATAACTTGCGTGCGACGTGAGTAATTCGTGATTTTTGGCAGTGGGGGTTATTCCATAAGTTAAAAATTCATGCTTTTTGGCTAGTGTTGGTATTCCATATTTTAAGTGTGCAGTTAAGTTTTCACACAGCCAAGTATAGGTAAAATACAGCCTTTGAATACCGATTTAAGGTAAGACACTTGGATAAGTGGAAAAATTTTAAGTATTTTTACTGAACTTTAAGAAAACCTTTGAATACAGACCCTGATCTTGTGTTTAAGCCAAAATAAAACTGAAATTAATAAACAAATTGACCATTGCCTAATACTTTCTAAACAAAAAATTGTCATTGTTTTGATTTTGTCACTTCTTATCAATATTTTATTTTGACCTAAATCAAAGAGGGTTAGCTCCTTCATAGAAAAATATTAGAATTTAGAATTGTCTGGAAAAAATTTATGACCAGATACACAAGTGACCAAATCAATGAATAAATTACAAACCACGGATAATATATATATAACATAGATGTATCATAAGTAGTCACACAATTCTTCCATTCTTATTATAGAGTATTTAATTATTACAAGAGAATTGAATATATAGATCACGTAATTAACTAGAGACCTTATATAAATTAAACTCAAACAAGATATAGAAAAGCGAATAACACCACTACCATATTCAAGATTTTTGGTATACAAATTACAAAAGATAGTATTACTTTAACTTCTTTAAATTAACAAATTATTAACAAACAATGTCTTTAATACAACACAATGCTATTTTACACAATTAAAGTTTCCAAATTATACAAAGTTTTCAAATGTCATAAATAAAAACTATTTTGATTATAATAACCATTTTGTTTCATTAAAGTCTCTGAACATTATTTCAAGGTTTGAGGAAACAACAATATTGTGAAAGTTGACTCCGTAAAAGATATCAGCCTGAAAATGATTCAATTCCCTTCAGTAATTACAAAGATATGATGGCATCCTACAATTGTTTGATGGGTCTCTTTTTAATCTGAATCTGAATGAATCCAAGCCAGGGGATTATTATTTGCTGTTGATATTATGATTTGGTTTTTTAAGTAAATGTTAAATAATCAATATCAGTACATATTGATATTTTCTGAAAATTACAAATGATAGACAGAGACATTAACACATGGGTAAATAACAATTTAGGTGACCTTGATAAAGGAGCTTAGATGGATTTTATTTACACAATCTCCTTACAATTTTAACCCCTGGAGAAAATGTACACTAATTCACATTAATATGTATGATTGGGAAACTTTAACTTAAGACAAAAACTTAACAAGCAAAATGTACAGGTATATATACAATTTCTAGTTTATTTATACAATAAAGCTTTATTTCAACAGAGGGACTAAATTTATCTAAAACCTATGAAACATTTTATAATATATTATTATTTATGTTTTAATTCCAGGGTGTAATAAAAATATCAAAAGCCCCAAAATTAGGAATTTTACAATGAAAGATGTAGTTATATGTTAAGATTTTGAGAATTTGAACTCAAGAATATTAAACAATATGGATTTCTTGTAATTCATTTCAGTTTTACAAATAATTATATACATGTTAAATATACAATATTTTTATTTAAATATTAATGAGCCCAAATAAATAGAATATACAAAAAAAGTTTTTACATTAAATAAGTTACTTGGTTTATTCATTATACCATGTTATAAATTCATTCACTACACTTGTATATGATCTTAAATGCATAGTCCTAATTGCTTTATAATAATTTATCATGTAATCAAAATGAATGCTTTTCCTCATTCATATTCACCATAACTGACCATGAACACAATAATAGAACTAACAACTAAAGAAGGGCATTTTGTCTTGGCAGGATGATTTCAGTTTTTACTACAATCATGTTATCTAACATTGACTGGGTCTAAAAAAAGAACATTTTCAGTTTAAATCAGTGGTCCAGAACATGGCTTGAGTGACTAGACACTGTTCTATGAAAGCCCTACAATGTAAAATATTAAATTTACTAATTCTTCTTCTAACATGTGATAAGCACCATTATAATATAATAAGCGATGAGCTGATCAAGATATATAAATTTCAAAAATGAGAAATTTGGTAAAAAACCCCTAAAACCCACATACATGTATATAGGTGATTGTACCTGAATATTACAATATGTAATTAACAGTTTAACTATTAAACTGTATGATGTTGACCTTTCAAAATATATATAATATAATAATGCTGTACCACATAGAATAAATGAATTACTTAACACACAGTTAGTATTTATATCACACTCCATTAGCTTTTAATCCAGATTTCATGTCCTTAACATAACTCATTGGAGATAAGGCAAATCCTTTAGACTGCATGATTTCCTCCAAGTCTCGATCTTCGGCTTTTTCTCTGTGAATTAAAAATAATGATATTGTTAAAGAGTTTTACATAATGAATACTGTATGAAAATAAAACAAGGGTTGTAGAAGGCTTTAATCAATGATAGATAACCAAATTAAAACCCAGTGTTATTTTCTTTCTGTTTATTCAGATGTCACTCCAATATCATCAAGAGACATGTTTAATAAAAGTTCATTCTTTGAATAATAATACCCTTGTATGCCACAGTTCAATAAATCATGTGTAGATTTCAGTCTATTCTAAGTATTCTCCTTGAGAAAGATCTTTGCTTTGCAGAACCATTACATATTAAACAAACCTGATTATTGGTCCTATCTAAATAACAAGAAATATATTTTTCCTATCAGTCATTCAGATGTTACTTGGGACCAAGCTAGAAAATCCTGAAGTTTCAAGTGTCGAACCCACAACACTCGTTGTGGCTTTACACGATATTATAAAAAGTTAATGTAATTTAGTAGTTAAACACATCAAATCTTTATTAGTAGACATTTAAACATGCACACCTAACTTCAATGTTTTATATCACTTACATATTTATAAACCTTAGTATTGATTACTGAAATAAAATTGATCATTTGAAAGTATCACTGCATGAAATAAATCTAATCAAAAATGGCCAACAGAATGAAGGGAAAAGCTTGATCTATTAAGAACAAAATGCAAGTTGTAATTATCTACTATTTAAAAGCTCTATGTGATAGTTTGACTCTCAGATTCTATTATACTACGCTACCTTAATCTATCTTCGTCCAACATGGCTACTAAAGAATCTCTTTGTTCAACTACTTGTAATAATTCATCCAATATCTTCTTCTCTTCATTTATCTTGCTGTCATCTTTAGGTCCGTCTGAAAACATCAGCCACCAAATTGCAAACTATACTTCATGCAAGAGATTTATCAACAAGTTTCTATAAGCCTACACTTTTAATTCTGACATTCATTTAGGAAGAGTTTCAAGATCATTGATGTAATCCTTAAGGCTCCCTAGGAACTATCAAACAGAATGGAAATCAAACAAAACAAAATGAAATGAATTAAAGCACAATAAAATAAAATGAAAAGCAACAATCAATACAACAAAAAATCACTTGATTGTTGTAATTTAATTAAAAGTGAAGCAAGAAATATGGCTACAGAAGAAAACAACGACAAATTGTTGGATATGGAAATATAAGTTTACATATTATACTACATGTATTTGTACTTATAGCTAATCAGCATGGACTGTAGCAAGTAGTGTTGTTGACAGAGGGAATAATATCAACGTCTGAAATTTCATATCAATAAATAATGTATTAGGGCATGATTCTTAATAAACTTGATAAATTCACCAGGACAACATGCCCACTTGGATTTTTGCATGTTGTGTTTCATTCTCAATCCTGAAAATATATTTATTGCTTTATTCCATATCACTCATTCCATTTTATTTGGTTTCTACTTCATTTTACAATTCTAAGAGGCCCAAATGATAACTTTGTGATTTTAAGCATACATTTGAGTAAAATTAGTGATCCTAAAACCTGTGTCATGTATTAAATATTAAGAAGATAAGAAATGTTATTTTTACCAGTTAATGTTTGTGTGTTTTGTTTATAACAATGTTAATTTTAGAACTACATCATTTAGACAATGAATGATCAGATTGTAATATACATGTTAAAAACCTATTCTAATAAATGAAATGGGGTTTAAGTTGGGCAACAACATACAGCGTGGTATGACAGAAATTTAGCCTGGACAGCAGTATGTCCGCCTACTTTTCATCAAATTCAAACTATCAAGGGCTCCTTTATGTGTACACACACAGGATCTCAGTTTTTTGTGCCATCCTAATAACTAGATACTGTTCCTTGACAGGTCCTCCTGCACTACTGACAAAATCCTGAGGAACTTTCTCTGCCTACACCAACATAGAAAATAAAACTCACTAAGCCACTGTGGAGAGAACTTTCTTAATTATGTATATTATTCAGATTGTATGAGTAATTGATTTATCAATGATCTCAGACTCTTATTTTTATGAAAGTATTAAAGCATATCTAGTAGTACTATCCTGTTTTCTGTCTGGATAGCACGTAATACTAATTATATCTGACTAACCGTAATCAAACAATATCTTAATTCAAAGTTTCAAGCTTAAATCATTGCAAATTTGATTAACAGAAATAAATATAAACACAAAAATGCAAAATAAGACTCAGAATAGATGTGCTTAGAAAAAAACATACCATATGCAATACAAAATGAAAAAGATACACACATTTCCAACAACAAGTGTGGAATGTGAGAATTTTACAAATATTCAAAACTGGACGTTTCAGAACTAACAAATGCAAGAAAACTATGACAACCATGCAACAATCTTTGAAACAATTGATTTTAAATATAGAATATAATATAGATCACATTCAAACTAATATTTAAATAATGTTAACTATATATAGTACATCCCTTCAAGAGGATTATTAACTACAAGTACATGTTATTACAATATAAACCATTGCCAATTTATTGTCTCATATAGATAGCTATAAACTATAACACATACTTATGGAAGAACAATTACTGATTTATTTGGGCGACGTTTCGAAACGTCGCCCAAATAAATCAGTAATTGTTCTTCCATAAGTATGTGTTATAGTTTATTGCTCTATCCAGTTACTAAATGCCTCTAAAAGATCAATATAGATAGCTGTGTAAATAACACACCAACTAATTAACTGCATATCAAGGAAAGCATGAAGACATCGTTATTTTTTAATAGATGTATATGATAGACCTGGCGTACAAATTACAAAATCTTACCTTCAATAGACATTCTGTCTCGTAATAATCCATTTAAACGTGCTTGTCTGTCTTCTAACTCTAATTCTCTAGCTCTGAAATACATGTTTATAAATCAAGGTTTAATTGAATCGAATATATGAAATTAGAGATGCATGATATGACACTATGATTGTGTTCACTGTATGATATTACAAGAGATAAATCTACTTACTGTATCATCAATGAAGACTCAAATCTAACAATAGTATTCTTCTCATGTACTAGATTAAACCATTCTTGCATCAAATCAGCATCATCTTTACCACTTTCTATATAGATAAATACATTTCATAACACATTACACATGATACCAAATATATTATACTTGATATTAAACCCATCACACTTGATATCAAACATATCGCACTGAATATCAAACACATCACACTTGATATCAGACACATAATACTTGATATCAAACACATCACACTTGATATAAAACACATTGCACTTGATATCAGACACATCACACTTGATATCAAACACATCGCACTTGATATTACATACATCACACTTGATCGATTTCAAAAATGTTCTTGTCGGACATTTTTACCGAAAATAAAGGGACATAACTCTTATCGTTATTTAAGATGGCAGTTTTTAGACAACACACAAAAATCCTCGAAAATTAGCATACTTTTCAGGTCATAAGTCGCTACATTTTTCAGCAGAAGTCAGGCATTCGTCTTATACTCCGTTACGACTTATGTACTGAGGGTAAGAAAATGATATCCCAAATTTTTTGGGCAATAAATGTCGCTCTACCACAACGAGCGAATGACACCATCCGCTAAATAATCGCATTGTATTGTCTAAAACAATAAGGTACTTACACTATTCCAATCGACATATTCGTTAACATTGCCTAGATTACTTATTTCTTTATTTAAAAACATAAACCCCATTCAAAATATGATCATAAATCCAAGAATATGCCATCAAAATAGAATCTTTTCTTCGACATTAGAAGCGTGTATTATGTCACGTATTCATTTCAGAATTTCACGCGTATCTCGAGATTTCTAATACCGGTTCAGTTATCGTACTTTAACCGTCTTGAAGCTGTTTTTCTTTCAAGTTTAATCAGATTTTCTTCAAACAAGGACAACTTTGCTCTGAAAATTCTAAACACGCTTCGAACGACGCAATTTTGATAACTTCTTTCTACAACCGGCAAGTTCGTAGGTACATATCACTTACCGTCATACAGCCGAAGCTAGTTTTAGAGTAACGGAATCTGCCGAGGTTTTCTGAGTGCTGTAACCGCGTGCTAGCAATGTCTAGTATTTTTCGGATATGTGTTTGTGTGAAATAGCTTTATTTAACGCTCGCTTCCACCGAAGTGATATCGCAGACGAATTATAATGACTGTCTATTGATCTGGGCGTTATATACTCTTACAATATGTGACTTCTATGACTAGTTTATACATATTGTCAGCTCACATCAATGCGATTAAATAGTCCGACAATGCAGAAACCACGAGGTTAACACGAATATTAAAATTATAATGGATTGATGAATAGTCCGACAAAGGGGAAACAATGGCTTCCGTTTAAGATTAGATTGATGAATTGTCCGACAAAGGATTAAGTCAGTCAATCAAGGCAGATTAAGTAGTTAATCAAGGTAGGTTTGCAGACGGTATAACACGATAAATACGTTGATCACTTAATTACCTAATCAATCCAGCGTATTATCGACGATAATCTGGTTGAGTGGTAGTTATACACTCAGTAAACTATATTAATTTCGGAATTTTGAATATTATTCACCATGTCTTGATGTCTGATTGGGCATATTCCCGGTCGGACAATTTTGGGCGTTTGGAAAAAAGATTCAGACAAGTCCGGAATATACGGGCAAAATCCAATCACTGCTTGATATTACATACATCACACTTGATATCAAACATATCACACTTTACACTTGATATCAAACATATCACACCATGACACATTAATTTGTCTTATTAGTTCCACTATAATGAATCTTTTTAGTTTTCCCTTTAATTTCATATTAGTTCTAAGTCTATTATTGAGACAAACAGTGTCTAGATACATTATTTTCGATCATTGAGAAAAACAGTGTTTAGGTACATTATTGGTAGAAAAAATTACTATTTCACATTATCTGTTGGCTTTGACAGTTGCTGAATCACTTACATTTCATTACCCCGGTCTTAAGACACTAAACTGTGGTGTTCTTGTTCGTTATAAAGAGGTTATTTCTCAGCATCATACAGAATATTGGGACTACATTAAATTTGCCTTGTACTTTTCTATCTGTACCCAATTACAGATGGGTTGACTTATTCAATGATATTTATTCTACAACCATCTGGATGTTGAACTGAATATACAACTCTCTGGTGTTCCCCTTCTTTGGCAAAAATAGAATTCTCCGGTAATACATGAATACCGATAGATTGAAGATAATATAAATTGATTTAACTCACCTCTTAAATCTTTTTCCACCTGTATACCCCTTTCTTCTAATTCACGTTGTTTTACTTCTACTTCTTCTAATTGACGCTGTAATTCTTGAGCCATTCGTAAACGTTTCTGTTCATTCAGTTTCTGCTGTTTATCAATTTTCCTTTGAATGCGTCTTGCTCTCCTTGCATCAGCTTCTGGATCTAATGACATTGACATGTAGTTATCCTGAAATGAATACATGTATCAATGACATGGTGATCAACAAAGGTTTATCTGTTCGTTCAGAAAATTAAATTACCTCGAGAGCTAATTACACTGAACAAATTCTCTTCACTCTGAACTTTTCGTGCAACATAGTCCAAATTCTAAAAACTAATTGCACTAAACAGGTGTTTCATGACAGAACATCATTTGGTATACTGTATATGACTATATACTTCCTTATGAAATGTCTTACACTTTCCATTGTTAGTGGAAATAAACTGGTAATTATAATGTAAAAACAAAAGAACAAAATATTTATTTAGTTGCCTAAAATGACTGTTTGTGAATTTATATTATTCCAATATGATCAGTGTCCACAACCTGAACAGGACAGGGTATCAAATGTTTCTTATATTTCCTCTACAGATGTATATGGTAATGAAGACCATTGATGAACATTTGTATGTAGACCTATATACATACCCTTTTTCTTGAGTGAACTGTACTGGTTGACATAATACTTTCATCAGAGTCTGAGAATTCATCAACTTAAAATAAATGTAAATATGTTTACAGTTTTACATGCAACAAAAATAATAGTTACAAACTCAACAACTACAGTATGCATTTCTCAAACTATAAATGAGGATATACATGTGATGTACAGTAATGAATAGTATAAAAATTAATTTGGTATATGTACTATGTACGTGTAGGTGACATTATTTTTTTCAATGAACAAAGACAAATTATCCTCCCACAAATATAAAATCAGATGAAATCAACAAGTTTATTTTTGACCCTGATCAAAGAGTGAGTTAATATAAATACTTACTATCAGCTGTAGGAGCATGTATAGATGTAGATAGTAATGGTTTTCTACTTCTATTAGACGTAAATACACTGCTACTACCTATTTCTAAACCTTTCATATTATCACATAGACTCGTATCGACACCATCTTTACCCCCATTTAATTTACTTTTCTTTTTATCAAATTTACTTTCACTTTTAACTCCTTTTTTACTCTTTGATTTACTATTAGCACTAGACTGTGGTGTATTTATATCTGAAACACTTTTGGATTTTTCAGGAGATTTATTTGGTTTCAACATGGCAAGAAGTGATTTACGTTTTTCTTTCTTACTCTGAGAGTCACTATCAGATTTTTCTTCTGATTTCCTTAATTTCACTTTTGGATCTGTTTTAGGAGTATTCGACAGTTTTGAATCAGTAGTTTTTAATTTTTTCTTAGTGTATCTACCAGTACTTACGGAAGAATTGTCACTATCTTTTTTAAGATCATTTTTAGTATCTTTTGTTTTCAGATTACGCACAACAACAGATGGACTGCCAAAACTTTTATTGACAAACACAACAGCTGTATCAGTAGAACTTGACGACGGTTTACTACGGTCAGTTTTTGTCACTTTAGATGTTTTATTATCAGCAGTATTAGTTGTTACTCTAGATACAGGTGGTACAGGTAATAAGCGTTTTTTAACTTGTTTAGCCACATCTTCATTGTGAACTTTAGATATTGGTCTCTGTTTTACAGAAGTAGCTGGTGTTGAGAAAATATCATCACTATCATGATCACCATCATCAGCAAATGGTATATCATCAATATATTCATCAGCACTTTTCCTTATCTCACGTTTCAGAGTATCACCCTCAGTTAAACTACTATCTAACTGAATTTTCTTTCGTCCTTTTTCTGCTGGGAAAGATTTTTCGGATGAGCTCGGTTTAGATATTGTTTTAGGGTTAGACAAAAGTTTATTTCTGTCTAATGAAATCTTTGTTCGAGCTTTATCAACATGAACACCTTTACGTCTAGTTAAAGATCCTGATCGACTTCTACCTGAATCTGAAACACTAGAATTACTAGAACTACGTGATACTGGTTTATTTTGTGTTTTTTTCACTGGTCTACCAACAGGTGTAAAGAATGGTGTAGATACAGGTTTTACAGATAATACATTAGTGGTATTTAAAGCAGTAGATATTGGTTTAGTTGGTGATGTTGATGTGGCCGAGGGCTTAACTGGAGATCTACCAGGTGTCCATCTATTAACAGGTGGTAAATCAGGTAATTTACGAAGTGGTTTCTTTTCTCTAGTATTATCAGTTGAAGGAGTTACAGTACTTGAAGAGGTTGGTTTAATTGGGTGGTGTTTTAATGGTGTTGAAGATGAAATCTTATTTTTTCTGTTTATATCACTGGTAAATTGTGATTCACATATTGTTGTATTTGGTGGAGATTTAGGAGAAGTAATCAACACATCAGGAATTCCTTCCTTTGTAACCTCAGATAAATCTTTGGTTTTGTTTCCAATATCCTCACGCTTGCCACCTTTAATTTGATCTTTCGTTTTATTTTCAGCACTTTTAATTTCAGCAATTGGTTTGTTTGTTATGTTTTCTTTATGTTCAACGCCCGGAATATGACTGACATCTATTCTATGTTTTTGAATATTCTCAGAAACTTGAATTTGTTCTTTTGCATTATCATGACTTATTTGTTTTTGAAGATTAACTATAGGGGGTTTCATAGAAGTTATTACAATATTGTCAGTATCTTCTACAGGAGTATTAAATTTATCTTCGATAGCACTGAGTTCTGGCGTAAAATAGATACTACTGTTGTTAGTCTCTAACGTATCATCAGCATCTTCATCTTCATTATGAATAGTAGTATCTTTATCTTCAGCTATTTGATTATCTGTTATAACAGGTTGATTATCATTATCTGATTCTTCATCTAGAACCATACTTAAAGTTGTTGTATAATCACGTAACATATCTACATCTGGTTTATCATCATTATCTATGTAAACTTTGTTATTTTCCATCACATCAGCTAATGAACTTGCTGATGATTTAGGTGAACCAGAAGGTGTAGATATAGTAAAACTCGATTCAGAACTCACAGACTCACTTCTTTTTATTCTTTTTCCTTTCTTCCTGCGTCGATCAGTCACAAATTTTTCATCTAACATAGTGAGTGCCAAATCTTTTCTTCGTTCATTTTCTTCATCAGAGGATGTTTCCATGTTACGTACACTATCTAAAACTTGTTTTAATGTATCACCACTGGTGGCTGTATCTAGATCTACACCAACGTGTTTTTCTTCCGAGTTAACAAACACTTCATCTTCAACTGTCTGTACATCAGGTTCTAACTGTACATTGTCATATAATGGTTCTGTTATTGAACCAAGCAGTTCGGAATCACTAATAGAGTCATCCTTATCAATCTCAGCCAAAATGCGCTCCATTTCTTTGCCCACTGCTGTCTTTCCTAATAACTCATCTTCATCAACATCAGTGTCTTGCTGACTTGTCTTACCTTCTTCTTCATCATCTCCATCTTGTTTACACTCATCACTTGATTCATCATCCTCCATTTCTTCATCTGTACTTACTAAATCTCCTACGGACATGACAGTAACTTTAGATTTATCAGTACTAATATCTTCAGAGATAGATTCTGAGGCTAAACACCGGCTATCTTCATCTTTTTCCGACAAATCATCTTTTTCCTCAGATGCTACTTCATCTGCAGCTCTGATAATCTTTACATCTTCTTCTTCTTGTTTTTTGGTTTCTTTATTTTTAAACATACTAAAAGCATCTATTCTAACAACTTGTGGTGGTGATGAGAAGAAACTAGCTCTAGCTGCTATTACACCAGATGGACTGAGTGGTGATTTGATAGGGGAGCTGTTATTATTTGAAATATTGATTCCTTTCTTTTCCTCTACAGCTAGTTCTTCTTCTGTTTCTGTATCATCTTCACTCTCATACTCAGAATCTACAAATATAACAAAATAAAATATAATTTTTTCCACTTCAGCTGTTAATTTATAAATATTGCGTTAGACGGGAACAATGGATGTGAAACTTGTTTAACTGGTAATGAAACTGTGCCAACAAAGATCATTTTCATTATTTCTATTGGTCAGCTTCCAACATTACATCTTGTTGATAATAAAGGTTCTTCTAAATTCTAAACTATCCCAAGCATAGCTTGATGGAATTTAATATTTTATAAATTACCATGCATATGGAACCATTTAAGGTTTATAACCTTTCTGCCATAAAAAGGTATATATGTTTGAGAGAGCTCTCACACTAAGTTATGCTGAAGAAAGATAAACTCAGGAAAAAAAGCCTTACAAAAAGAAAATGTTGTTTCCCTTAAAGTTGCAATTTCATATTTTTAAGTTATATTTTTAAAATTTATTAAAATAAAGCCTTAAAATAGATGGTATCTATAAACAGTCCTACCTTGTTAAAGAATAATCCTATTAATCCTACAATTCACTATTACCAGTTGAGAAATTGGCAAAAATATCATTTCCATCGACAAATTCAAACGTTTGAAGTTAGCTACTCCATGGTGGAGAATAGAAAACAAGGGAGGTAACTGTGTTATTATTTCCGGTGTAAATGAGTTTTAAGTGTGAGAATGACACCTATGATCGTATAATAGTGAGTTGACAACCTATTAAGCAAAAGACATAGAAATAATTATGTTTTGACTTTCTTAGAAAATATGAAATTGTAACTTTAAGTTTATCTTCCATTAACATGGATGTTGATCTTGGGCTTTCTCCTATAGTTAAGTGAATGTATGGTATTGTAACAACAATAGTATTAATCGGCTTAAAGCATAACCTTTCGTAAATAAATATAATACTTAATTCTAAAACTGATAACAAGACAACAGTGAGTCTTAAGTCCCCAACCTCAATCCCCAAAAAAATGGATGACACATCAACTGAACATTTATCTTTTTGTAAAGCATCAAGCCATCAAAAAGCTCATGACTGAACTCAGTTAAAGTTTTGATGTTGTAAAACTATACACCAGGTTTCATCACTCTCAAAGTTATTGAGTCCTAAACCATCCACCAATCAAATTGCTTACGGGAAATGATGATCATCATCCAATTAGGCATTCACAATTTCACATTATAAACACTTTTTAATTTCAATAGTCCCCTGCTTTCTTCAAGTGCGGGGGAACAAATATATACCTTCTACTTCTGTATCATCATCATCATCATCATCATCATCTTCTTCTAGTTTAGTATATGGTGTTTCTTCTTCTTCTTCTGTTGCCTGTTTTAAGTTATCAGTAGAGTGTCGTGTAGACCAAGTTTTAGCTAGTTGACAAGCTTCTTCCCATGTTATAGATTGATTACCCAATCCTTCCTGTACATCTAATAACACATCTTCATCTTCTGCTCCAGACCTGTAAGATCAAATTATAGATTTACATTCTTATAAAAAAAACAGCGGTTGCCAGGCAAGATACGCCCACATTTTACAAGAGACAAGAGATGGATAGAGAACAAGCTAAAAAAAAAAAATCAATTTTTTGTACAATCGGGGGCCATAATCCAGGAAATTAAGATCCAATACGCTCAAATATCGTAAGATCTTTGGATTATAAACATTCATTTCAAGTTTCATCAAAATCTAGAGTGTCCACAACCTTGGTATTACATACTTTCACAAAATTTGCGTACAAGGAGCGGCCATTTTGTCCATAAATTTAAAATTTCATCAAAAATGGATCACAATTGTGGCTTCTAGAGGGTCCACAACCTTGATATACCATACATGTATATTTACACTATGTACATATGAGGGGCGGCCATTTTGTTGGGCTTTTTGGTCCGATTTTCACGAAATTCTAACTCAACCATAATTAGGGTGTAACAGTGATATATTCAAATATTTTTTTCAAATCAGATAAAAATTGTGAGTGACCTCTATAGGGACCACAAGCTAAAATCCTGATTTTTCGCACAATCAAGGGCCATAATTCAGGAAGCTACGATCGGATATGCGCGAATATCGAAAGGAACCAAGATCTTTGGGTTATAAACATGTATTTCAAGTTTCTTCGAAATCGGATCCAAATTGCGACCTGCGACCTCTAGAGGGTCCACAACCTTGATATACCAAATTTTTATACTATTTGTCTACGAGAGCGGCCATTTTTTCCGGTAGTTTTGGTCCAATTTTCACAAAATTCGAACCCAACCGACATTATGGTGTAATGTGTAGCGTAGATTAAACTGTTTTTATGATGGTTAATGTCTCTGTATCCCCAGAATATTGTTCAAAATGTTATGAGACCAAAATCATTTTCTAATGAATATTGACAATACACAAAAGTTAAAATTGTACTTGTTAAATTAATTAATAGTTTACTCAGAACCTCCTATTGTCCAAAGGGGTCTAGAATAATTGCAACTTGTCAAATGACAGCTAATTGTGGGCAGGGCAATTATTTTATTTTTAAAGTGTAGTTTATCAAATGATGAAGAAGTCCTATCTTGTATCTATACATGTAATGATTATCAAAACATAATAACATAACTGTTAAAAAAATTTTGCAAACAAGTTATTAACAGAAATAACTACAATTGAAAGTTTACTTTCATTTTTTTCTTCCTGAAGAGTATTTCAATCGAAAACAGTTATAAAATAAGTTGAGCATATTTGAGCACAATTGGAGGAAACCATACTTGAGCACAATTTGAGCAAATAAATGTTATAATAAAATGAGCAGTAAAATTGTCAGTACAATTGAGTAAATAGAGAGTGTGTACTGAACATTGATTGTATTAAGTTCAATAGTTGCCATGTATTGGAATATCTATCTGGTATTGCTTAAAGTTTTCACCTGTCATAACATATCTATATCAATGATTAGTGCTGAATAGAATATTGAAGTATTTATTGGTTATTCTTAATCTATTATGGTAACAAAAAGAACATAATACAAAAATTAAACAATGACAAGCAATTGTCCTTGCTAGCAGTTGTCCCACGTATTGTCCTTCTCACCATTCAACCATATATCTTACACAAATTAGTAAATATTCTATCCTGTCATCACTTAGAAATTATCTTTTAAATTAATACGAATTCCAGAGATTAAGTTAAAAATTTATTGTGGGACATAAAATAATAAAGAAAATCTGAAAGATCAAATGCCTAGTATAGAGAAAATAAAAGAATATCATGACTATCAGGTCGTAATCTAATGACTTCAATGTCTACACCAAGTTCTTTATGAGATAGACAACAGAAACATGCTAACCCCTTGATACTTAAAAACATATTAACAACAAATACCAAAATAAAACTGAAAACAATAAATGAAAACAATGATTTTTGAAAATGAAACTGAACCACACCCTAATTCAAATGTTACCTTGGTATTATAATGCACGATCTTTAATAAAACATTAAGATATTAATAAAATATAACAAGTTACAGTACAACATTATAACAAACAGTAATATACACATCATATTAGTATTATAACCTTCAACATCAAACTAAATAATTCCATTCTTTTAGTCTTTACTGCTTAACAAAGTTTATACCAAAAATTACAGTCAAAAAGAATCTTTTACAGTACAACTACATCTTACAGACACAATGTTCTATATAAGTGGATTACTGACCAAACGTCATCTTAAATAAATAGTCTTTGCTCAGTTTGCCTATAAAGTTATGTTTTCTTTTAAAATTATGACAAGTTACCATTATCATCGAAAGAATGTATGGATACAGAGTATCTGTTGATCATAATATGTTAAATCTAACACAGTTGTCCGCTACATGGGCCTGCTTGATTTGAACTGTGGTCAGTTGATATGAACAAATCAAGCAGGGCCTTTGGAATAAGGTTAATACTAATATAATGTATGTGTATATTGTAATAAGATTATGTTATACCATTCATCTAGTATCCTGGCCATCTCTGTATCTGACAGAGATTCACTGTAACAAAACACACAACACTTTTTATACACAATACATTACTATTCATATCAAAATATTACAATGTCTACCAATGAAACTTTTCTTCTATCAGTTATCATACTATACATTAAAACCTGCTGATAACTATGATATTTGAATGAAGATGGTTTACTACTGGTTTAAATGATAAAGAAGTTAGAAGTATATACATGTCCATCTAATATTAGTTTAGCTATATTTTTCTACACAATTCTAGACATTCAAATTGAAAGTTTGATTTACTCTCTAGAAGAGAAAATGAACCAGCTCTAATAAAAAGAATAAATAATAACAACATACTTACTCAGAATCAGAATTACTACTATCATAATCTTCATCGTCAAGTAATGTATCAGACGATAATGAAGCTCGTAGATTATGTTCAATTTGTTCCTCTTCCGTTTCCTCCTCTAAACCATCAAATGTATTTTCAAACTCCACACGTTCTGGTGTTCTACTGTTTTTAGCAAGTAAATCTAGATTTTTTACTCTTAATGGACTAAGTATTGAATCTGAAATATAATAATTACATTGAAGAAATTACAATAGGCAATATATATCAAAGAAAAATATGGCTGAAACATACCATAGTAATACACAGCCTGCTTTTGTTGCAAACATCTTAATAATGGTGTATTCGTTAATGGTTAAATGTTGTATGCACAAAACATTCATGTTCTTTACTGATAATGGAAAATACAATTTAACATAGTTCAATATGTTTGTTAGTTACACATTTCACTCTAAAATGAATATAATGTGCAGTATGTCTTTGCCTATTTTCCAAAATTTGTTCATTTATCTCAAGTATCTTCTCCCACTATATCTTCACAACATGGTATCAGATGTTTTTTAGAATTCGTCCAATGACAAATACAGTAATAACAACCACTAATGAACACACCATTAGTCTCGCTTCTCTAGTGATGGAAAGTAGTACTAATACTTTAAAGGTAAAAATTTATTATGATAGTAAATATAAAACATTAATAGAGAACCTGGTGTTTTAATAATAGGTATTATAGGATCTACATCGGTCATATCTATACTTGGACTATTATCTTTATCTTTAGGTACATTCTCCTGTAATATAATATAATTAAAAGCTACAAAATCACCATTTTTTTACACAATAAATGCTCTAAATTATATTGAAATATCTTATTAATTTGAAAGGAATCAAGGAATATAATCAATTTCTATTGTTCTCTAAGAACCTGCGATGTTATTACATCCCCTGTCTAGGCCCACTGACTTTATACTGATGATAATTACTAACTCAACAATAATATATTCTTATAGAGAATTTCCTAGCCGTTTAAAGTGGGGGACACACTAGCCGAATCAATCGGCGTCAAAATTCGCCAAGTGTGTCCAGTGTCACTTGGCCGAATGATTAACCCGAGTCAAAAGTGTTTGATATATTTGCCTAATGTGTCTGGTTCACTGCCATGTTTAAGCATGTGACTTCAACTGGTAAATTCGTCTAGTGTGTCTACTCATTCAGCTGCAATTTGGCCGAATGATTCGGCTAGTGTGTCCACCGCTTATGAGTTCATGAGCTGTGACCTACACATGCACAATCCTGAAAATTTTAATATTTCTACTTAAATAAGCAATTATTGAGAAATGAAGGATATCATTATAGATATGATACAAAACCTGTGTCTTTTACTTACCTTATGGGCTTCATCATCATCATACTGATTATTTCTCTTTCTCTTCGCATTTAATCTTTGTTCAATTAACGCATGTCGAAAACAGAAAAACCGTACTGTAATAAAATCAACAAATATAGGTATAATAGGATATAATAATTTTGTCATTTATAAAGCATGTTAATATTGAAGAACAGTTTTGAAGGCATTGTTGGTTATTATATTCACTGATTATATACAGATCAGGGTTTTGAATCAAGAATGCTTTGAGTTGAAATTTAAAATGACCCACTGACAATAACCGTTGCATTAACTGTGGTAGTCAATCTGATTAAAATACAGATCTATACTATTCAAAAAAAGTAGGGGATATTTGATTTTGGGGGCATAATACTAAAATATGCAAATGACTACGAAAAAAGTCACTATAGAACCTAACAGAAGAAACATTTCCAGTTACATGTGACGCCCAAACGCACCAATAGCTACCGCATGGAATGCAGGTGATGCTTGGGATCATCATGGGGGTCCAACCCAAGATTTGCACGACTCTGACTTTGAATGTTACAGTCATTGTGGCATTGAATTCCAGGGTGGAAACATCAGTTTAATTGTTTTAGTGACCAGAAAACAAATTTTGATATGCGTCGGCTTACCCAAAATGAAAGGTTACGTGCCCTTGGCATGCTACAGATCGGCACAACACAGGCGGTTGTGGCGCGGACGATGAATGTTTCTCAGTCTGTCATAAGCAGGCTATGGTCCAGATACCGTGATACACAATCTGTACAGGACAGACCACGCTCAGGTCGACCAAGGGCGACAACTCAAGCCCAGGATCGATTTATCCGTACCTTGGCCTTGAGAAATCGTGTCATCACAGCAAATCAGATCAGCGCTCGTCTTCAAACAGACACTGGTGTGAGAGTGAGTGGCCAGACGATTCGGAATCGACTGCATAGGGGTCACCTTCGCGCCCGACGTCCTCGCGTGATCCCTTGTTTGAGAGATCATCACATTCAGGCAAGACGTCGTTGGTGTAGGGATCATCAACACTGGGATAATCGACGCTGGAGCAATGTGATGTTTTCAGATGAGTCAAGGTTCACTGTTGATTTTTTGGACAGACGTAGGAGGGTGTGGCGTCGTCAAAACGAGCGCTTCCAAGACGTTAACGTCATCAGACATGATCGATTTGGGGGTGGTTCTGTTATGGTGTGGGGAGGCATCACTGTTGCTGGAAGAACGGCTTTACATGTTGTTGCAGGGCGTGTTACAGGCCAGTACTACCGGGACAACATCTTGGCAGTCCATGTTGTGCCGTTCGCACGACGTCATGGCCGCCGTTTCATCTTCCAGGATGACAACGCAAGATGTCACAGGGCCAGGATCGTTACAGGTTACCTCCAACAACAGAACATCACCACATTACCTTGGCCAGCACTGAGTCCCGACCTCTCCCCCATCGAGCATGTCTGGGACATGCTTGGACAGAGGTTACCTCAACGTCAACAACGTCCTGCCAATGTCCAAGAACTTGCTGCTGCGTTGCAACAGGAATGGGACAATCTGGACCAAAATGACCTTAGACGTCTCATTAGGAGTATGCCACGTCGGATCAATGCTTGTTTGGCAAACAGAGGAGGATTTACCCGTTACTGACTTGGTTGTGATGCTGTGGTAACTTTGCTGTTTGACCCCGGGTATCATTTTACCCTTATTATGGTCAGTCTGTGCCTTACTTAGTCTAACGATCATTTGGAATAAATCGATGAATGTGAACTTCATTTCATTTTGCCATTTGTTTCTTCGTCAGTTTCATTAGGTGACTTTAATAACACTTAAAAATCAAATATCCCCTACTTTTTTTGAATAGTATATATTTTGTTTCGTTTTTTTATACTTTCGATGGCCTACACTACATGAAGATCTGACAATTAAGTTACAGCGATAGGTCACGTCAGGGGTCAAAAGACTGACTTATGACCCTATGACGTCTGACATTTGATTAACCAATCAGCATTGATGTTACTAGTGGATTACCCACAGTTCCGTGAAAAATACTCTTCCAGATCCAAGTGTAGTAAAGACAAGTAAAACAAAATTTTGAACTATAAAAACGAAACGAAATAGGATCTGTGTTTTAACCAGATTGCTGTGGTAGTTTATTTGATGAAAAGGTCCCGTATTCTCTCATGTCTATATGCTCTTTTGATAGTAGTAAACATTATTAAAGATTCAAAATAATGTAAAAGCTTAATCTTGAAAACAATATTTACAATATAATGTACAAGTTTAATCTCTCTGAAAATATTTATAAATTTACATTAAAATGTTTAACATTTGAATATATAACAGCTACCTTGTCAATCCATACAGACTTTCTTGTCTTGGTTAACACCAGGACCTCATATTCATTTATTCTCAGTATTCCCAGTTCTACTCCAATAACATCTGGGTCAATCCATGGGGGAGACGCACAGTCAAATTATCTGCCTTTGATACTTCTGCTATTTTTATTGACCAATCGACGGGCGAAGGGAAGTAACTCACACTATATTGGAACTAAGTTTATTGTCCCGAATGTAAACAATGAATCAAGCTACGTTCAAGGGCAGATAATTTGAATTCGTGAAAACCCCGTGAATGGACTCCGAGGTTAGTGAAGTATAACAGAACGATATACAACAGTGATATCGAGAAGGAATATTTATCAAGCCACCCGTGAATTCTTAGAAGTTATTGTCACTTACCATCTGGTTCCCTCTCACAGGAATAATTGTTTAAACGTAAATTAGTACCGCAAAAATCACATTTTAAACAACCACGATGGAAAAATACACCTTCAGCACTCATCCTCTCCATAATATATACTCTCTTAGCACAAAATTTACAAAATTCACTGTTTGGTTGGGCTGCTAATAATGTAGGTTGACCTTTCTGTAATTAGATTAGATTTATTTCTTATAGTTTAATATATATATACATATTAGTAACATATATTGATCAAATTATATTAACAAAGTTTTTTATTTAGGACCTAAAACAGGAATTGTTTCACCAAATGAAAGGTGTAGAACACAGTGGTTTGAGATAGGACTCTCAATTTATAATTTCGAGGGCCAGTTAATTCTTTGTTTATTTAGTTATTTTTTCTTTTATTTCGATTTAATGAGATTAACAAGACACTTTTTCAAAAAATATGACAAATATAAGGATTATCTCAATTTATAAACCAAATCACAGCTCAGCCATTCATTTTCAATGTGACAGATATCAGTGAAATAAGGGTCCTGGTTTGAAGAAAGGTAGTCATTAAACAGATGTTAGTTATCCAACTGACATTGTGTGTTAAAGAATCAATTAGTGTATGCCAGTTAAAATAGATCTGTCAGTATTAATCAGCCTTTAACCAAACCAATTGTTGAGTATGCCATTTTGATTGCTAACTAAGGTAATAGTTTTCAAACTATATATCTGAGAAATAGGATACAGTAAGCTGCATATGACTGTAATATAGAACAAGAATGTTTTTATCCAATGTAAATATTGAACTAGTTTTATAGAATACTGCTATTTTAAAGATTTAACAAAACAACATGTCAACTCAATTGTGCATATTGTAGTATGTATTACCATTTTCTTTAACGGAGGCTGTGGTTCAACAGGAGGGTCACCGCGGAACTTTGCAGCCAGTATTTCAGCCATGGCATTAACACTGACAGCTCCGGTAGCTTCTTCCTTGGATTTCAAAGCATAGGGTGATGGCTTCTTTTCTGTTACTGTTAATTTATTGGCTATTTCATCCATTGGTAACTTACTGTATTTGGTCAGCGCTACGTTTCTTTGCTTTTAACAAAATGAGATTAAATGAACATCAAATAAAGAAAAAAATTGAAATATCTTTGAAGGATTGTTCGTTTAGGTGAACCCTATCAAAATTCTAAATCCCAGGGTTATCTCCCTATAAATCTCATACATGTTGGGGGGATTTTATCCACTATTTGCATTTAGGATATAGTTTTAATACTTGGTGGGATTGTTCATTGACACAAAAACAAGAAGAGTAACATTTTTTCTATTATAAACTGTGTTGTTATCTCCATGATATAACTTGTCAACCTGACCCAGAACCAACTTCATAATCGAATTGTTTAAAACTTTGTTTGATTTTTGAAAACTTTCTCTGTGGAGAGAGGGAGAAATGGGGTTTAACGTCCACTCGACACAACTAGGTCATTTCGGGACTAACATATGGTTTACTTTTATTTCAATAATTCGCTTGCGCATAGGGGTCTTCAGCAGTGGGAGGAAACCGGAGGACCCAGAGACAAACCCACGAGGTTGGACAGGCTACCCTACTCTTTGTCACGTACATTCCGGGATTCGAAACCACGCCAGTCGACTTAATGACAGACTTTATGATACAGCGCGTAACGCTAACCATTCAGCCATCCAACCCCCTTTCTCTGTGGAATATGATGGAGATTTATTTCAGAACCATTCGACACAACTCTGCAGCTGGTGGGTGTTCTAGGGAGCGTGACAATCTCCCACTATGAATATCTCTGCAACTCAATATATCAGAAAGACAATATATAAATCAGTAATCATCTACTCTACCTGCTCTAGTTTTTCTTCTGGTGATTTGTTCTTGAATAGTTTTTCAGGATCATCATCTTTTTTCTAAAATAAAGATAGGCTGCCAGTCAATGGAACTTATGCAGTCTATAAAAGTTGTTCACATATTTTGTTCTTTTGTAGGTAATTAGACCATTTATGGGACAATAAAAACTGATCAAATACAACAACGCATGAAGTAATTATAAGAAATAATTAAAATTTGATAGGCTTCTAGTTCTTCCTAGAACTATCACAAACAGTTATGGGAAATTGTTGAAAGTTAATAGACTGTGTATAAATTTCTAGTCAAGTGGGTAATAACTTTAGCCCTTGGAATGTGCACAAGATTTTTTTTAGTGATCAAGGGTCAGTCATAACTCTTAACAGCAATTATCCGAAAACGCTGTAAATCAATTATTCTCAGACCATTCTGCAAGCGATGATTTGTAGAAAGAGAGACAGAAGTGTCAGAGAAATACGTCTATCTTTTTATTCTTCACTAATAGACATATTTAACATTTTAAAATGCTAATTATTATTATCATTATGCTTGTTCGATCTAAATTGAACAGTTACTTGTATTGTCTTAGGTAGAAAAACACTTTTAAAATGTCTAAAATAAACCTACCCTTTTAGATTTGATCCTTGAGCTAAGTTTTTGGAGGAATGATGTACGATGTTTAGGTGAGCGAATATTCTTCTCATCTTTTGAAAGATTTCTGGTAATTGGAACTACAACATATAAAATAATTTGTTATATTTATAGTATGTCTAATCTTTCTGATGTAAAATGAATGAGATTGATGATGCACAAATTGGGAGTTCATCAGCAAATATACTTCATTTGCCCACAACAAATTTTGACTTTATCTCCATGGTAGGGTGACCCATGCAGCCAAAATTAAGTTCTCATTAAAGTTGATCCTACCTCAATAAATGTTTACAGTAGAGATAATCAGACTATCAATTACAACATCAATAATTATGACATCAGTAGCTTTTGCTGTTAACTGGCAATTTTTACCGATCTTTTAATAACTATTGTTTTACAAATTAAACATAGAAGTCTCCGCAATTTCTGTACATCAGATTGGAGACAGTAATGCTTAATTATAAAAGATTTCTTTGATTCAACATGTATAAACATATTTCATGAGAACAATTATAAACCAGTCTCATATCCATAAGTCTATATACTGAATGCAGATTTATAAACTGAAAGGAAAACAGCTGCCATCAATTGGCTTTTAATTTTGTTTTTCGCTTTTTAAATACGGCATAAAATATTGTATATGTAAATTAATATTAGACAAACACATATAAGCAGGTAATGCATGCTATTGGATCATACAATTATTTGTTCCGCACTTGATGATGATAGACTAATACCATTTGGTGAAAAACTATTCGATAAGGAGTGTGAAAGTAACTGCTATTTGCAGGAGAAATTATGAGTGCAACCACACACCTATCAAACATGCCACTGTCATGACTAACAATAATTTCTTACAGACAACAAATTTATATTTATTTTGGATAATGAAATATTCTAATCAATCTACATAAAATATGTTGCAAAAATGACATAATGTCAATATAAATATTTTCAAAAGATGATTTTATTGAAACAAAACAATCGGGTACTGGGTATATACCTCAGTACCGCACACACTAAACACTATTAGCTTTCCTGTTCTATATATATGTATATAATAAACTACTTACCAAGTGGTAATGGTTCTGCTTTAAATGCACGGTAAAACTGAGACAGATACACCATCATATTCAATCTATCCGGCATATCACAATTAACCATATCTTCAGCTGTCATAACAGGTTGTATACCAAGCTCTGTCTCCGCTAATGAAAATGCCTAAAAACACAACAGATAAAATACACATTCAAAAACAATTCAAACTAATCATGTGTATCAAGCAGAGTTTCACGTCTTACTTCTTTCTCTAGTTATTTATGGTTATTTTCAGGTCTGATGTCTAGGAGAGAGAATACAAAGGCCCAGTTTCTTGTCAATTTCCTAAACTTCCGAAGGTCTAAAGTTAGGCTAGTAATCTGTATGAAAATTCTCAAAAACCTACAAACATTTGGAAGTTTAAAAAAAAAAAACCTGATAAAAAAACAAGGCCTTATCTTTCTGATCCTGCTGTTGCTGCCAACCATCAAAGTAGCAATTAAAAAGGCAAGGCTAAGAAAAATCTAAATTCAGTATTGGTTGTCTATGGTAACTCGTTTAAGAATGGCTGTGCATATTCCTTAAATATTTGATCTTCAATGAAATCAGCATAAAGATATATACAACTTACCAACTGATTATTTTGCAAAACATCACAGTCTAATAATTGATTAAAATTACTGAAAAAGAAAAAAAATATTAGATAGTTATTAAGATAACCAACAAAATTCACAGAGAGAGAGAGAGAGAGAGAGAGAGAGAGAGAGAGAGAGAGAGAGAGAGAGAGAGAGAGAGGGTAACTTCCAGGAGTAACATAAGGTTCAATTCTATTATTTCATTAATTTGCTTGTTCATAGGGGTCTTTAACAGTGGGAGGAAACCTGAGGACCCAGAGAAAACCCACAAGGTTGGACAGACGACCCTACTCCTTGCCACATGCAAGTGGGGAATCGAAACCATGTCACTTGACTCAATGACAGATCTAATGATACAAAGCACACACATTAACCATTCGGCCACCTAACCCCAAACAAAACTCATTATTTAGAGCAAACATCAAATAAACCATATATAATTCTATTCAAGATATCAAAATAATGCAGATTTATTTCCTACCAATTATGTGACATAAAATACCATTGATTTCTATGCAATAATAGTGAGACTCTTTACCAAATTAAGAGAGTTCTAGTATGGATGAAAGCAGAATATCATATAACACTGATATTAATCTAATTAACAGCTTATCACTATATATTGCCTATATTTGGATCAAGACAGTCAAATTACCTACTGTTTAACTTACATCAAAACATGTATATGTACATAAATAATCTATACAATATCTATATAATAACTTACATTAATTCTGGTCTAAATACATGTATAAGTGCACAGAGAGCTAGACCATTTCTCCACGATGTTGTAAAATCTATGATATGGACATGACGATATATATTATTGTTGAGCACTTTCTGACACCATCGTAATAAACTATACCCATCTACCATTTCATCTAAAATACATATCATAATAACAATAAAAAACTACCATTTCCATAGCATATTAAGTCATCAAATGTCATAACAAACAGTAAAGAGGAATTATCGGTATTAAAATGGTCACAGAATTGAAAAGTATATTTCTATACTTTTTAGTTCAGTCTCTTCTTACACACAGTTTCGCAATCCGCTGTATTATCATATTAAACCACTAACCAAGATTGATGACAATAAGGACCATTTTTTCTAAAATTATATATTATGTTTATTCAGATGATCGAAATATAATTCATTACAACCATCTCCAGCTATTTATCATATAGTGATTATTAGAAATATATATATTCAAAAATTTAATATTTAATACAGACATTGTAATTTGTTGGTCCATGCAGATGCAAAATAAATAAAGCAGGATTTCCACTTGAGCACATTCTATACATATATTCAATATGTGTGACAAGAAACATTTAAAAAAAAAAAATGAATGTACAAGATAATATCACAAGTACATAAAAGGTCTCCATTAGGTCGATAAGATTTTCTTTCGAAAACAATGCAATGCCAAAAGGCGACATGTTTGTATTCTGTAGTCACAATAAACAGAACTCTATTTAACCTTTTGAAGTTTTTTCCTTGCTGATATTGTTGATTATGTTCATTACATCAAAATAAGTTGAATATTTTAACACCTATATCTTATATGTCACAAATATACCTCTACATGCTCAATCTATGTTCAGGTAATTTTGTGTTGAGAATTGATCATATTTAATTAAATACACCTACCATGCCTTCTTCTTTTACTTGGTATTTCTTCTTCTAATTTAGTAGCATCCCCACCATCATACAAGTGACGTACTTGAAATGGTTTCACTATTCTACATGTATTTAAATTTGGATATCTGATAGAGATAAATAGAAAATTGTCATTAATTAAACACTGCACTGGAGAGAAAGTTTAATATATTTTCCACAATCATTTTAACTAATATAGAAATCTTCACTAAAAGGGATCTCCATATTGTCAGCCCTCAATATTTCGAAATGACGGAATTGTAATTGAGTGATCAGTATTCACATGCATGATATTGTGCGAGTAAAATCATTACATATTCAAACATAACAGCTATGGTGATTAGTCAAAATATTATTTAATTGGTACATGTATTATGGCACTGTATTAAGGATGTCATATATGGATGATGTATTTGAAAGTCATTAACGTCATTACAAATGTGTGGACATTTGAAGAAAACATTTATACCTGTATTTCCCCACCCACAAACCTCAAATAATGAGTTGTTTTTTGTTTTTTATTCCCAGAATATTTGAAGAGAAAGTTCCCCACATGTTAAACAAGAATAGACAGGCACATTGTTTGCAACATTATCTGGGATGTTGAAGATACCTATCCAGTGGAAACATGTTATTTAAACAGGTTAATGGATACTGTGGTGGGTGAAATCATTGAATGAATTGGCAACAGTTGTGATAATGGTCTGTTACAGTAAATATAAGTAAATCATACCTTGTATTTGGATCTATACTATATTGGTGGTGTGATTTATGTAATCTTTCGGGTGTTGTCTGAGATAATAGTTGGAATATACTCTCTCTTTCTGCTATAACTTCAAGAGGTGTCATTTTACCAGCTGCCCAGTTTTTGATCATCCAAGCAGTATCAAATACACCTAGAAATCCTCTTGCACATCCAGAACCAGTTGGCCAAAATGGCTGAAACAAAAATTATTATATTCATATATGTTTTGACCAGAAAACATGTATAATGTCTGCAGATGATACCAAATGTTGACCAATACTAAATTCATATCTTTGTAAATACCAAATGGAATTGAACCATTTTGGACTGATATTCCTTTTGGAGATTCAAACTACATAATATTGAAGTTTGCAAGGTATTCCTCTATCTCTCAAATGATGTTCATAGACATCATCTTCTGTCCCATTCAAAGTAACCCAATTGACTAATCTAATAACTTAAAATAAATCCATGCATTGACCTAGCTAGAGTAAAGTAATAAACCTCTTGAAAACCACTACCTGGGATATCATTTACGTAATCTGTCCGAACCAGTGATGGGATTTCGCCCGTATATTCCGGACATGTCCGACGCTATTTTCCAAACGTCCTAAATTGTCCGAACAGGACATCAAGACATGGTGAATAATATTCAAAATTTCAAAATTAATATAGTGTACTGAGTGTACCCGATTATCGTTGATTGATTAAGTAATTGACGTATTTATCGTGTTATTCCGCCTATACACCTACCAGTGTATAAAATTTGTCAAGAAAAGTTGTAGGCCAATAGGACTCGCTGGTAGAAGCCATTCATGAAAGTTGTAGGTCCTAACATTAAGTTGTGGGCCCAATAAATATTAACAAAACAGATGTACACTACCCCACCCCAAATGCTTTTATTTCTAAGTTCTAGCCATTTGGGACAGGTTTAAAAGTTAAAATATGTATTCAATATTGATTGACTGTACACATTACAATTTTAAGTTTTGAAGGATTTAATGTTAATACTTCGTGTATAGAATGATAAAAATCATACCACCTCTATTTTACCCCAGACATGGTATTTATTTTTTCTGTAATAAATAAATATTTACTTGTAGTTGTAATAATCTTAATGATTATATATAGGTCTACTAGTACTGACAATATAATATCTCGAAATTCCATTCACATAGAAATCTGAAGTTTACGGATTAAAATGGCCCTTTACACGTACTCTCCGAGAATTAACAGAAAATATTGTTCATTTAAATGAAATGAAATAAAACTGGCGTTCAGGTCCTTCCAGACATAGATTAACGTCTTACATTTAAAAAAACATGTTAAATTTACTGTCCGGTAGCAACAATCATTTTATTTGTTTCATTCATCATGACGTGTGGAACTGTGAAATGAAAGACCGTGACCTCTTTCAAAATGAAAGTAAACTATCACTGCTGTTTGGCAGCCGACACATCATTTTTTATCATTATTAAACTGACCTGTTTCATATTTATGAAACCATAAACTCTTTGTTATTCTTTCTATATATGACATATTGTACGTGCCTGTTTTCGAAGACTTGGGTCTCCATTACGGTAGTGAAATCGTCATTAAAGAAATAGACTTGATAATCAAGTCTGCTAGTAAATCACGAGATTTAGAAAGAATGGCGGGAAAGGCCACTCGTTTTTACCTCACTGGAATTGTATTGTTATCAGTAGTTAGGTTTTCAGGGAATTTTCAGCTCTGCTTTTTCAATTTCATTTTTACAAGACAAAGAATTTATATCATGTGAATTTTTATTCTTGGATTCATGACAGTACAGTAGATGGACTGACCTAGTTTAGTAGCACACGTTTGGATTTCACAATTGAAGGAATATAATATGCCGGATTTTGCATGTGTATTCAATATCGGATAAAGACAAATAAGACAGTAAGTAAGCCATACTATTGGAACACACACTCATCTATGCCACACTTGATCAAAATGGTTAAATAATATTCTGCCAAACTCTGGGAGCGTGCTGATATTTGCAAGCACAACCTCACAATTACAACGATTTTATTTTTATTTCCGATAATGAAATACAGTTAAATATCTGGATGAAATATATTACGGATATAAATAGGGACGATATAAATATTTTCAAAGGAGAATTTGATAGAACCATGAACAAAATATCCATGACACATATTTTTCCCGACAAAAACAGTCGGCTCACAGGGCCGACCCACCATCTTCAAAATAAAAAGATGTCGGCCCGCCAAGTTATTTATCGGCGCTGGGCCGACGGACCGACGTAAATTTTAAACACTGACACCTACCTTGATTAACTACTTAATCTGCCTTGATTGGCTGACTTAATCCTTTGTCGGACAATTAATTAATTCAATCGTGAACAGAAGTCATTGCTTCTCCTTTGTCAGACTATATATCAATCCAATCAGAGTGATTATAAACTTAATCTACGTGATTAACCCGTGATTTCTCCATAGTTGGATGTTTCAATCTCCTTGATGTTGGCCCACAACGGGTAGGAATTAGTCATATATGTCATATATCCTAATAGTATTTAACACCCTAAATCAATATACATTGTATCCGATAACTTGTCTGTGTTATTTCTTCGGTGGAAGCCAAAGTTAAATAAAGCTATTTCACACACACGCATGGCGGTTATAGTGCTATAACTGAAATGAAAGTAGAAATCTCACAAGTCACTTGAAATTTAGAGATGTAAACGTGCCGAATCTCATACGTATGATACTGGAGAAAAGATTCTATTTTGATTGCATATTCTCGGATTTATGATCATATTTTGAATGGGGGTTTATGTTTTTAAATAAATAAATAAATAAACACGCCAAGAAATGTTGACAAATATTGCGAATAATGTAAGTAGTTAATTGTTTTAGACGATAGCGCGTGCTAGGGTCGAATGCGATTACTTAGCAGTTGGTGTCACTCGCTCGTTGTGGTAGAGCGACGTTTACTGCCAAATAAATTTCGGGATGTCATTTTTTACCTTCCATATATAGGTCGAAACGGACTTCTGCTGAAAAATTTATCAACTTATGACCCGAAAAATACAGTAATTTTGGAGGAATTTGAAACAGGTACAGATCGGCGGTAGTCGGCAGGCTTTCATTCTATGGTATTACGATGTCACGTAATTTTGTAAGAATATTATTGGCATAAATTTGAATACTGTACGGGAATTAAACATGAAAAATAACGAGGTGCACCTATCTTTTATTAAGAATAAATTTGAATATTTTGTTGACACGTGATTCTTAATTGTGGTTTGAAAACACCTGCTTAAATAATGATAAGAGTTATGCCCCTTTATTTTTGGGAATAAATGTTCGACAAAAAAATTTTTGAAATCCCATTAATGGTCCGAACTATGGTGTGCTAAAATTGCTTTAAATTTTGCACACACGACTCCCAATTAACTGTATAGTTAATTCATGGATAAAGCATAGCTGTAAATGATTTTTATTGAAGATTATGTGTTCCTCCTCACCTCAAGTAAACTATCGCCTACAATGCCTATTAATAATTTATGTCCACATTTCTCAATAGCTCTACATGAATTCTCAGCTGCAAACATGGATGTAAAATCAAACATGGCTACATCAGCTTGTCCATAATGATTTACAGCATATTCTAAATTAGGTAGTTGATAATTAGTTGAAACATCAGCTGCTTCTGTAGCATATGCTAATAAAGCATCATGGTTAACATTCTCTCTTGATAGTAACTGTATTGTATCTGCATAATCCTATAATAAATATACAAATAAATTATCACATGAGAAAATCATACTAAAACTACTGACATACTACCTGACTGACATGTTAAAAAATATAGAATTTATTTGCAATTTTCACTGTATGAACATTATATTTACAGCATAGATAAGTCTGTTAAAGATGGGTTCCCAGAAAAGTATTTATCGGGTGGTTATTTCCAATAAAAGTATGGCAATTTTGGTATATATGGAAAGTAGAAATATCCAATCTTACTAGAAAAATACTGGATTCCCCGAAAAACACTCATGGAGCGTATACAGGACAAAGATGTAAGGGTTCCCCTAATCAACAGCCCAACGATTATGACCTTCTGCACGCACGATGTCAAAGGTCACAAGCGAACATTGAGCGCTTGATGTACAAGTTGATAAACTTTATGAAGAGTTAGACGTACAATACTTTCTGAGATAAAAATGACGGAAAAAGACGCGGGTAGTGGATAATCCGAGAATTTAATTAGGTTTCGATATTTGTAATAAATAGTAAGCGATTAAAGACAACATCGTCTTATGTATGCAATGAATTCTCCTCTGACTCCCAAGACGTGACGTAAACATGACCTGGTTTCATCGAATTTTAATAGCAGGGCATTCCTTCGCAATTACAATGTTTGAGAAGGATTTGAAGCATAATTATGACAAATTAATTAGTTTGAATATGTTTTTGGTCCATATATACCATTAAATCACCCAGTTTGTACGTGGGAACCCATCTTTAAATAATCTACTGAATATACAACCTAATGTAATGAATTCAGTTTCCGCACACAGTCTTTAAGATGTCAGTCCACATTAAATTTTCACGTAATCTCAGCCTTTTTATTGCAAGCTGGAGTTGTTGTGGATCAGTGAGTAAGCTGGAAATACTTGTTCAATCCTGGTGTTGGCCAAGAGTTCAATGGGATTTTACAGCGTGGTTCCCACTAGTCAGTGGTGTAGGATGGAGAGCCTGATAAGGGACAACGTATAGTCATTACAAAAACCAATTCGCTGAGAGTGGGCCGTAGTGCCGCTGTTCGGACAAAATTTACCACATGCCACATAGCACAAGGCACGCCTGTCTCAAATAGCCCAGTCAGTGCCGAACGGTAGGACGTTAAACCCATTTCATTGATATAACAAGTTTAATGACATGGCCAGTGTCTATCATTCTTACCTCTTTTAGAACACCTTTATACAATAAACTTTGTTTTTTCGCTGTCATGACAAAATAATGTGTTTCATCTTTATAATAAACTATATTCTCTAGATCTATTCCTGTTTTATCTTTAAGGTCCAAGAAAAACTTCTGATTAAAGATAAAGGCAACACCACTGATTTCCTCCACACTAGCTTCTGCTGTTGTATTCTTATTGATGAAATTAGCTGTAATAGCAATCGCCAACTTTCCTCGAAACTCTTTTCTTTTAAAACCTGAAAGGAAATAGGTTCATGAATATTGATTTGAATTTGAGCTGTTATGATACTAAATCTAATCAAAATATAATATTTATTTAATTCTGTTATTTGGAGTTCTGATTATCTTTGGGTTATAAACATACACTATTTGCGCACAAGGAGTGGCCATTTTGCCGGGCAGTTTCAGTTGGATTTTCACAAAATTTCAGCTCAACCATCATCAAGGTGTATCGATAATATATATATATAAGCAATTTTTATAATACGAAAAAAATTGTGACCTCTAGGGGTCCACAAGCTAAAGCCGCGTTTTTTTTTTTGGTACAATCTGTGACCATAATCCAGGAATTTACCGAGACCGATACATTTATGTTCAAATATTGAAAGGATCCAAGATCTTTGTGATATAAACATGAATTTAAAGTTTCATCAAAATCGGATCAAAACTGTGACCTCTAGAGGGTCCACAACCTTGATATACCATACTTTTACACTATTTGCATATGAGGAGTAACCATTCTGTCTGTCAGTTTCAGTCTGATTTTCTCGTAATTTGAATTCAACCATCCTTATGGTGTAACGGTGATATACTGGAATGTATTTTAAATCAGATAAAAATTCTAACCTCTAGAGGGACCACCAGATAAAAAACATGATTTGTCGTACAATCAGGGGTCATAATTCAGAAAGTTACGGATCAATATGCGCAAATATCAAAAGGATCCAAGACCTATGGGTTATAAACATACATTTCAAGTTTCACCAAACCCTGATAAAAATTGTAATCTCTGGAGTGTCCATAAGCTAAAAACGTGATTTTCGTACAATCAGGGACCATAATCCAGGAAGTAACAATACGATGCTATACATGCCAATATCGAAATGAACCAAGATCTTTTAGAGATAAACCGATATTTCAAGATTTATCAAAATCGGATAAAAATTGTGACCTGTAGAATGTCCACAAACAAATTGTGGATGGGCGGACGCGATGACAATATAGGTCCATATGAAAGTGTGGGCGTATACAAACACTGTTTACTACATGTATATTTACCTGATAATGTATTTCTTTTACCATCTGCTCCAACTAGAACATCAAACTGATATTCTGATACAGGATGATTAGCAGGATCTACTGTACATTTCCATCCAACATCTGTAATATAACAAGTAACTATTCATCAACAGAACATACTAAAATACAGACTTTCAGACTTTAAACAATCAGTTCTAATGCTTTCATGTCGTCATCTTCATCATCTTAGAAAAGTCTGAAATATAGCCCTTTTCTTGTTACAATAATTTTTTTTGTCTAAATTACTATTTAAATAACACTTCCCAATCTTTTTTTTGTTAAAATTAATTAACAAAAATGATTATTAGTTTCTAATGCTTTGAGTTTCTATCGGAAATGTCTACTTATTTAGAAAATATTTGAGATTTGAGTGACTTTATATCTTACAGAGTTATGTCTTATAATCCTATCACACCTCATCTTCACATACAAGATTGCAACAGGCAAGTTTAAAAAAATCTTTGCAAGCATGAATTACATGAACAGAAATCATTCAATCTTTACTTCTGGCCAATATAACTAGACTTGGCTGTTAATTTATCTGATTAATATTACAGGCGATCACAAAAAATCACTAAATTTTGCATTTATATTTCATCAGGCCAAACACAATAATTTCAGTTTTACAAGAACAATTCATTTTTCTATTTTTTTTAAATAATCTCCTTACTATTGCTTTGATCTTCTGGAGGTTCTAAAATACTTCCAAAAGCTACATTAACATGAACTTCTACACCTAATAATAAAGCCACCTTTAATAATATACATTGTAGTTGACGAATACCTGAAATGAAAATAACACTTCAATTAAAGAATTACCATATCTAAATTCAGAGCAATCTAAAACTTTTCAGCACTACTTTGCTAAATTCTTCTATTTTGTTCAATGTCCAAATTTCCCAGAATCTGATCTAAAGACTCCAAATATAACTATGCTGCTAAGGATTATCTTGCTGTACAATCAGCATAATTGAACTGTTATATTAAATATTTCATTGTTTATTTTATAGTTTCAGGTTGGACATAACAGACAATTTATCCATAGGGAGAACAAATCAGTGCCAGTAAATACTTACATTTATAACTATAATTAGAATTATTACTTATTGGAGACCATTAGGATTTCTTACTAAACGAAATTGTATAAGTATTAAGTCAACAATTTTTTCTCTGAATAACATTCTGCATTAAAACCATATATCAAACTTACTGATATGATCAATGGCTCCAGCAGCAAATTTTCCAAAAAACTTTTTGGCCCCAAGGTTCTTGAGATCAGTGATGAGATATGGCCAGAGATGAAGTACATTATTACGGGAGAATCGATCACGCTTTTCTAAGACCACAGCTTTACCTCCCAGTAAAGCTATTTCTATAGCCATCCTTAATCCACATGGTCCAGCTCCTATAACCAGCACCTGTAATCAATTAATATATATATGAATTAAATTATCAATCATCATCACAACACACATTTCACAAAATAAAACTCTCTTTAATCATTAGATCGCACTAATATGAATTTAACCATGCTTGGTAGTCTGATCTATGTAGAGTTTCCAATAAAATGCTTAACCATAGCATATAATTGTTTTGTAAATATGGGCATAGCAAAAGTGAGGCTAATGTTGCCTGCCTTAACTCCAAAATAAGTACATGTAGATGATACTCATTAATTACTTGCACATTAACCAGAGCATTTAAGGATAAGACTCAAAGAAGAAAATTAATATCCCATCAAATTGTAGCTGTCTACAGAAGGCCCAATTATCAGAGGAATTAAAGAAGTACGAGATCGATTTTGTTCAGTTCCTTTTAACCCCTGTGTTTTCAAATTAACCATCAGTTTATTGTTGAAAGATTAGGTACGGTAATGAACCTAACATTTGAAATCAATGTTGGCCATAAATAAAATTTTGATGGTAACAAACAGCTTTAATAATTATTGGAAGTATGTTTGTTTATTATATATAAGGTAATGAGCATATATTATAAATTAAACACAAACAAATTGTATGTCAAAAATAAAACACAATTTTTTAAAATTTCATAAATAACCACTTTTCACTGATATTTTCAAACACACTGGAAAGAACAAACCTTTGAATGACGACATGCTTCTCCTCGTTTATAATCACGATGAGCGGCCCGTTTATCAAATTTATCCCAGATTGATTTGGCTCTCCATGATGTCAAGCGTGACTTTAAAAGGCGGTAGAAATTGTGATGATCTACATGTAACAGTCCTAGTACACTACATAATTCATGGAATGTATTCAGGACAGATTTACAAGTCACAGCACTCACAAACTGGTCAAATATTTTAGAGGCCAGTTCCTCTGTAGTAACACCATTCATCCTGTATTCATATCCAAATCTGAAAATATGTAAAAACAACAATAAATGTTTTTGGGGTTTTTTTTTTTTAAAATCTAACATGCTCTACATGAATATTTATCAATGGGTTTTTGAATAATATTGTTGTTATTTCACATTTACAATCTTTTAGAAGTTGTAAATGAGAAGATACATGAATCTCTAAAATTTGCCAATGAAAAATCTTGAAACTTGATAGAATTCTTCTTTATGACCAAACAAACAGTTCCTGCAAATCTAAATAAAATACCTCAGCTTACATGTACTTCTATAAATACATGTATAACAAAACAAATGAAATGAAATGGGTTAAACGTCCTACTTTTCTGTTCTGACTGGGTTAATATAACCAAACAAGAATCATTCTTCTGTTAAATTAGAGTACCCAGTAACCTACATGTAATTGCGATCTATAGAATTTTTACATTCTTGTATCCATACATAGATGTGTAAAACATTTAGTTATGTAAGACTATTTACAATCAATAATATAGAATTAATATGTTATGAGCTGTAAGGTAGTATCGTACAGTCATAAAGAGAGACAATCCTATACATGCAGACACTAATAGTGAGTCATTGTGTTATTATACGTAAAGTGGTACTGTATATATACACATACGGTAATTAAATAATACCCACATGTACATGTTGAATAATTACTGGTACATGTACTTTCTTAAGTAAATTATATGATCTCTTCAAACTAAGGTAATGTCCATATTGCCCTATTAGAAACTGCTGGGGCATGTATCTATTATTAATACATGTCTGTCCATGGACATTGGAACAGCATGCCATTGGTTCTTAGAGATTATTTAAATGATTACTATTATATTTACAGCAGATCTTTCTTATTCACTATTTATGATTTTGTGAGCAGAGTATGTCTGATAATATAAGTGTATCTCACTGTGAATCCAATTACTATTGACAATAAAAGATGAAAAATAAAATAAGTAAAAAAAAAAAATCTAGCTCTAGAGTGGGTAATTAGTAATTGTGTCACTGCTGTCAATATGATTGATGATTTTATTGATTTTCTTCATAGTAGAGATACAGTACTTTTTTTATATTATCTATATCAATATTTCTACTATATCAATATTTCTACTAACACTCACCAATAAATGTATAATAATTCATATATAATTGGTTGGAATCTTTAAAGAAGAACCAAGAAACCATGACAATGACTTTATTTGTAAGGAGTTCAAAATGGTCATGCAAACTAGTTTACAATAAAGTAGGTCAGTTCCTGCAATTATGATAATTGGGCACGTCTATGATTATTTTGAATGTGATAATAATATAAAATTTAATTACATGTACTTCTATATTCTTATTAAAAGTATGATGCTTCTTTAAAACCTGTACACACCAACAGTAATATCTGTCAGATAAAATCCAAAGCGATTTGCTCCTGATCCATTTAAAAAAGCTATATCAATCAGTAGGTACATGTACATGTACATGTATGCAAATTCAAAAAGAATTTGATCTGGATTCTGAGCCCATTCACCAAATTATGTCAAAATGGAGTTTATTTTTTTTAAAGAAAAAAACCTACTTCCTATGTAAGCATCCTTTTCATTACAGTAAGCTGTTATCAAGAAGGTCTGCTGTAAAATGTGATTATTATACCAAGATTCAATGTAAACATTAGTCAATAGAAAATAAAAGGTACTACTGTATTTTACTGGTGCCATATGTAGTGCATTATTCAACAAAAACATATATGTATCTCTATCAAACATATATGTAAATGGTCAGATATTATCCCGGGGAGTAGTATTAAACATACATTATGCAAGAGCAAAATCTGATTATTGCAAGTCTTAATTTAGGCTTCAGATGTTATAGAAATTATAAATTAGATCTTTATTTAAACAACAAGCCCAAAATCATCAACTAAACAGGGTAATACTGATTACTGTGTCAAAGTTATCACAAATATGATTTGTTATAAGAAATGGCCAATTAAACTTTAAAAGGTGACAACTATAACCTATTTTACATGTTATTATACAGTAAAACGATAATATGATCTTGGATATAATTACTATCATCAATAGACATAGTTATTTGTTACATTTTGATAAAACCTTACCATTGTTATTTGTTAATAGGAAAAACCTTTATCCTAATAATGTCCTAGTTATCACACAAGTTACTTTACATGTACACTGTACTTAATTCTGTAATAATCAATTACTCTTTGGTCACCCATGTACCCATTATTCTGCTGTAGATTTTGATACAAAATACTTTGTGACCTCATACTGTTTTCAAGCCCATTTGGTTTCTTACTATTGGGAGTGTATCAAAATTGTATGCAGTCTTTGTACGACATTTCTAGAACTTATAGAAATCAACACACACGAAAATGTTTTGAAATAAAATGATGTCCATTAGCTATTAAAATGCATACATTTAATTAAATTAGTACTTTGTAAACTAGTAAGATGTAAAATAAATTAAATCACACAACTGCATAATTGGGCCACATAATTTTTTTCTGAAATTTGAAGCAATATACATCAAAATAAACTCTTTTAACAAAATTTTTTACACACTGGAAAACTTCTGGTACCACAGAGTACATTGTGGACATGTGACCTACACCACGACAACAAACTTGCCAACAAACAAATAACTTAAATGGGTTAAAATCCAATTTCTAGCCACCGTCAAACAAAGCACCACAATCTGACACATTTAAATCAATAAACAAATATTGAAGCCAATAATCTACAAGACATTACTTTTAACCAAAGATATATCTTTACTCAAACAGTGGTAAGTTACCGAGAATTAAGTATAATTTCCATTTTGTAAGATTAGAATCACCTTATTATTAAACTTAATTCTCCAGACAACAAATCATATCAATCATCGACTGAACATAAAAGTAGGTCATGGTAAATCTCATCTGTAGGATTAAACATAGACATGTCTCCAGTCTATGGTTTTCCGTCTCTGACATAACATCAAGCGATGATTTTCTGCCCATGTTATTAAAATTAAAAATTTGACTTCTTACACAACACACATTATCACAATATTATTATTATTATTATTATTGTTCGATTTATATAGCGCTTCATTACCATTTATCATAGTTGATAAATCATTATCACAATATTTTTTTTCATTATAGCCCAACCCTAGCTTTTACCAAACGAACTGGTTTCATGTAATATTCATAATAAAGTGAGACAAAAATTTCTAAACGCACAGTTATTATTTCAAACAACTAAGATCGGTTGCCAGGCAATGAAACATACATCCACAGCAGCTAAATTGTCTGAGCAGTCAACAGGGGTTGTCACATATTCATTTTTTTGTAGGTAATTTTTGGGGATCATTTCATACAGATCAGATTATAAATTTCGCCGTTTAAGCAATTAAGAGTTCACAAGCTTCTACAAATTGAAAAAGGGTCTGAAGTAATTTACAGAAATTGTTGAAATTCAACAGGCTTTTTTGTTTTACTAATTTAAATAATGCATATAAATTCCATACAGATCGGATGATAACTTTTGTCATTTAAATGTTCACAAGGGCCATAATTCTACAAATGAAATGAAATGGGGTTTAAAGTCCTACTCCGACTGGGCTAATGAAGACGGGCATACACCATACAGTGTGCTATAAGGGAAATTTTGCCCAGACAACGGCACTATGGCCTACATATATATCAAATTCCAATTACCAAGGGATCTTTTAAGTGCATGCCAATGTATACACAGGACCTCGATTTTTTGTCCTATCTGAATGATTAGACAGTTGTCTTTGTCAGGCCCTCCACCCTGCACCACTGACAAGGGGAAACCACGTAGGAAAATCAAGATGAACTTATAACTCTGCAACTAATTGACGGAAATTGCTGAAATTGAATTGGCTTCTTTGTTTCACTAATTTAAATGATGGATATAAATTTCATACAGATCAGATGATAACCTTCGTCATTTGAGTGTTCACAAGGTTCAACAAAGTGAAACAGGACCATAACTCTAGAAGTAATTACTGGAATTTGCTGAAACTCAATAAGCTTCTTCATTTCACTTATTTAAAAGTTCCTGTAACATTAACAACCAACATATTACTGCAATTCAGAATTGTTGACACTACAGTACTTCTTTGAGACATCGCTGTTGAGTGTCTAGTCGATCAAATAGGACAAAATCAAGGTCTCAGTAAGTGTTGGCATGTAGTTAAATAAAACCTGACAATTAGAATTCAAAATAAGTGTAGGTTCGGCCACAAATTTCTTCATGAGTCATGGCATACTGAATGGCACATGCCCTTCTTCGTTTGCCCAGTTGGTGCAGAAAAGTAGTATTTTTATGTTAACCCAACGTTATTTCTTTTCTTTTTTTTTGGGGGGGGGGGCTTTTATTTTTTGATAGATTAGAGACAATGTCACATTTAATGGCTATTTATAGGTTAAGACAAGCTTTTGCTGATAATGCATATGCTGCATCTCTGTCGTGTAATATCTTGATCTCTCGTCATTCGAAAGTGAAGGGTCCATAAATTTACCCGAACAATAAAAGTTGTCTTTCTTGCTTTGAGTAAAGTTTACGGAATATTAATTATCTATACATGTTTTATTCGAAATAAGGGGTGTTTTGGATAATTAAAGGGGTTTTCGTGTTTTATTTTGGGTAAATCTATGGACCAACAGTGAACATCCTCGGTTCAACTTTTATTTCAGCCATTCTTTGGCTGTGAATGGCACCCTAGTATTGGGTTAATATTTGTATAAATGTTGCAATACATTAGGCCTATATATTTGTCCATGATATTTGTTAATATTGGTAATCAAAGGTTTCATCTCAAATGAATATCTTTCCAATGCATTAAATATCTTTTCAATTAACTCTCCTTCTTCTTTTACTGTCTGTTCCAGGCGACACTATGACACGAAAATTGCTTGCCATTTCTTCAATTCTTAATTAAAAGGGATAAACTTAGTGACATACCTGGAATTCCCATCCCAATACTTTCTTACACGAGGGAACCAATTTCAGATCAAGCTATATAACCTCCCTCTCTTGAAAAATCGTGGTTTGTTTACATCGCGCTACTGAACATCAGCCATGTTTGACCTAGTTATCTCGAATAGTCGATTTGGGCGGGGGCGCTAGTCGTTTCGGCCAACTTGAATGTTAATGAAGTTGTTTTAACTTTCATTTTTACCGGATTTAATAAGACCACAGTTGTTTGTCCAACTGACTTAAATATTTAATTGGCCCCCGAGGGCTGTAGCATTTTGATATTGATATAAACTACATACAAATTTTATCCTGAAATGACATGTGATGGAATTGAAAAGGAGGCTATAGGCGTAAACAATAATAACTCAGTCTATAATAAAAATGCGATAGTAATCACGGGTTCCGTAGTTATTCCTTTGCTTAAAACTTTGTCTTGAGAACCCTCGGAAATTTTAAAGTTGAATTTAGGCTTGGGTGATGGTCAAACTAATTGTATACGTAACCTAATTTCTCATGAAGTCTGCAACAAAAGCAAAAACAATTTTTATATAATAATTATGTCTGGTGCATAATCGCCCAGTTGATGCTGGAGTCCCATTAAACATCAATTACATCATTTCATTTGTTCAATCAAGGTTATGCATTGCAGAACACAGCATATGTGACTGTGGATGGTCTCGCTTATTATATCATTTTTGTCCTTTTCTAGTTTTGCAGATGGATCCTCCTTTAAAACAGATTTTACGGATGTAATTAATGCATAGGCAATCTCATTTTTTGGACTTGTATATTGTATATAATTCTGTTTCTCAAAATAACTGCATAATACTTTGGTATATCCCTTGACCTCTCGCATAATTTTCATCATGAAATAATAAATTGTAGATAACAATAATCAATTATTCATGGGGTTATATTTTCTAAGATTCGCTTTTTTGTCTTTTCTAACTTATTGTAATGCAATATTAAGAATATCTATGATCCAGTGAACTGTGAGGAATATTAAAATACCGGCATTTATTTAGCAAAAAAAAAAAAAAAAAAAGGTTTTGAATCAGCCCAGAACACTATAAGTGCTATGCAGTCATAACGTGTAAAAAATATACACGAAATGGCTATGCTGACGTGTGAAACACTTACAATGCTTGAATGAATATCTACACTATCATTTAAATGAAATTATTAAACATTATTATTAAAGGGTATAGAACAACACTCTTAAAAACAACATGCTTTATATAATATATGTATTTTCTAAACCTTAATACACACATAGGGTTGGTATATAAGATCAACCGAAAACCCATGAATCATTCTGAAATTTTGCCATTTGCCAGAAATAGGCAATTTTGTGGGAGTTTGCTGGAAAACGGAATACGAAAATCAATTCCCGCCCTTCTCTGCTTATTTACGAGGGCTATCCAGATATATATCAGCTAAATTGCGATGAAAGAATATTTTGTATCAATAATTATTATAGCTAGTGCCGTCGTGTATACTATGCCGTTGATTCTATGTCAACCGGATAATCATTATCTAGTCTATACGCTAAAAACTGTATCGTCAAAGGGGGATAATTTAGATTAAATATATTTTAAATATTTATTTACAGCTGATCAGAACCTATGTACTTTGGAAAACTAATAAAGTGTTTATAAAAAAAAGTCACCACTCCAGACCTTGCTCTCAAAAACCGAGTAGCTTAATGGGCAGTTACTCGAAATAAGCAGGTGGAATAAGAACGTAACCGACCAAAACACATGAGTGTTCAACACATGATTCACAATGTGAAATCTAATAAGTATTACTGTAATGTTTATGTCAAAATTTGTGAAATTTACAAGAGTATAGTTAATTTTATCAAACTTCTAGGCATTAAGGCTCGACGAAGAGAGCAACGGGATGACAATTTCAGGTATGTCACCAACTTTTGGCCATTTAAATTAAAAACTGAAGAAACGGCGAGGAATTTTAGAGTCAAGAGTATCCCCTGGAACAGACAGTAGTATTGGAATCGATATGTAAAAACTATGTATGTTTTTATTATTAATACATAACAATTAATTACGTGTTTACATGTATTTAACGATTACATGTCATTTCGGACTTAAGACATTTTGGATTCAAAAAAGTATGGCTTCGACGTTTCGGACTCGGACAGGTGACATTTCGGACCCAGGTAGGTGACGTTTTGGACTCAGGAATAAGTTGAAATGTAAGGTTGAAATCAATTGTCAAATCAATCTATAATAAACCAAAAGCGATTTTATAAAAAAATAACATGAAGCTAAAATTTACAGCACGTGGAATCATGGATCATGCACTGTATAGATCTCTCAAGGAACTGCAAAATTTTCAATGTTGAATCGGCCAATTCAAAACACGAAAGAAAACATTAACATGAAACACGTGATTATTAAAAGACTTTACCAAACGATAAAACATACATGTAGTTGTACTTACAGTTCTTTATCATTGTTTCCCGTTAAAAAAATTATTTTTTTAAAAAAGAATAATACGCTGTAGAATTTATTTCAAAATGACCTACACAAAAAACCAAAGTAAATATTTACTCGACATTGACGACATGCACTGTTTTTACAAAACCCTAGAATTTTTTAACGATAATCTGTAAGCTACACGTTGACATGCATTCCTCAACAAGCTTGCCATAGATAGCAGTACCAATCGATAAATTAGTGCATACAAAGAACTCTTTTTGGAAAACATCAGAAACATTAAGTGAGATAATTAAAGCTGATTAACCGATAATCCCTATGTTATTGTAGTATGCACAAAGAAACCTTACAGTTCTTTAGTGGATGAGAAAAACGTGAGATGTCAATCAGCGATAATGGCATCGATGTGTTGATTGCGATTCGATTATGTAATTATTCATCCGATTATGTAACGTCGGCAGGTTGAGTCTGAAAGGTCGTCTGTGTTGACTCCGAAAAGATGCGGAACCAAAATGATGTGCTACCTATTTAACAATATATGATTAATTGTGGGTTTATTTAACAATAGGTTAGTGTTTAGCAGTTTATTTAATGATAAGTTTGATATACATCGTGGGATGAACTGACCATATACTTTGAGCAAATTATTGATGTTTTGTGTTATTTTTTTTTCAAAATTATGACATGGTATTTGGTTATATTTTCAAAGTAATATATTGGATTAGTATGTGGTACGAGCAGTATCAATAAATTCATGTGTGAATCGTCCTCCCCGACTGTTTTCATCTACGTAGGACGTTAAACCCCATTTCATTTCATTTCTGTTTACATCTACAAGTACATTTATGGAAAAAATTGTGGATGTTAATATAGAAATATTCAAAAAGAATATAGTTTGTTTTCTTCTCTTAATGGGAATATGTTACTGTGACATCGATTTGAAGGAACCGGAGATAACACATAGTTCAGTAGTTAGGAAGGGTGTTAAAATTGTTATTGCTCAGATAGTTCAGCCGAAACGGCAGAAGTCTGAGAAGAGAAGAGACCTACACAATTGTTTATTATAAATTAAAATTATTGTACGGTATCCAACAAAGTTATGAAAACTTAGAAAAGACATAGGCCTACATACCAAAAACAAATAATTCATCGGCAAGAGTAACTGGTTCTCGTTTACTTGGCACGTTATCCTTCTGTTAATCATCCATTTGCATTCATGTCATAAGAATATTGACGACCTTTACCTTTGCCGCCATAGATGATTACTAAACACGTTAACAGAAGAGACATCTGGCGTCAACAGGTGCGCTAAATGTAGTTGTCTCCCTTCCATCATAAGGCCCGGTCCTAGTGGCCGATGGACACAAAACGTATGCAAAAAGGACACAGCGGACGAGCAAACTTTCGGGGGTGGCTCCACCCGTTTTCATCCGCTCTAGAAATTGACGAAAATTTGCGAAAACAGAACGGAAAAGAACGAACGTGGGAAGTATGTAGCGGGGATGTTAAATGGATGTTCATCGGAATCCTAGCGGATGAAAGCGGATGGAAGTGGATGACAGCTCCGAAGGGGTTAGGCAAACTCCAGACATCCTTCAATATACCAGATACATCCCAGATTGAAACGCTTTGTCCGTTTTGAAAACTTTATATACGAGATGTACCTTATCTTTCCTCCCTCTTTCCGTTTTCAGCTGGATCGGATGTGAGTTGCGAGGATGCCCAGAGGATGCAGAGAGGATACGGTGGACGTTTAACGGATGATAACGGACATGGAACGTTTGGTGCTCGTATATGTCGCGCATTTACATCGTACACAGCAGAAAGTTCATCCGTTATAAAAGTTTTGTGCAGCTCAAAACTTTTTGCGCGGATGAAATCATAGTGAACGGATGCTCGATGGTTAGAGCGTATGAAACACGTATGCAATGAGTACACAACGGATGCATGGCGTTTTCAAACGGAGGGACGTTTTTTCCCCGTTTTACATCCTCTTTGCATCCGTAAGTGCAGTGGGACCGGGCCTTTAGTAAACAATGAGATGGAATGGAATCAAGATAGAATACAGACGGGCATATGAATGTGATATGACTATATGGGGCCTACTCTTATTCCGAATTCCCACTGGCAAGGGTTCTTTTACGGGCACACCAAAGTAAGGGACAAAACTGACAAAACTTTGGTCAAAAATTATTAGTAATAGTATATGGGAAAACAATATATTTTACAAAACATTATTGTTTCTTTGGTAAAACAATTGACTCTTATCCTTGATACTAATCATTCTAATCATATAAAATGCTGATTGGACATTGATCATCTCTTTTAAGATAGCTATATGGGACTAGAGGGTTTAAATGAAATAGATTGAAAGACCATCCCGTTTTCGCTGGATTTATATCGGAATTACAAAACATTATTGTTTCTTTGGTAAAACAATTGACTCTTATCCTTGATACTAATCATTCTAATCATATAAAATGCTGATTGGACATTGATCATCTCTTTTAAGATAGCTATATGGGACTAGAGGGTCTAAATGAAATAGATTGAAAGACAATCCCGTTTGCGCTGGATTTATATCGGAATCAGACATTCCAGATAGATACATACCTTTATGAAATCCTACAGAAAAAGTATAGGTTCATATCGAAGTTTATATAAAATGCTATAGAATACTACGGAAAAACGAACTCATTCTGTAGGGTTTTTTTTCACATGGCTATAGATTCAAAAACATTTACTACAGCTTTGTGTAGGATCGGCAGAAGAGTTTTTTCCAAGTTTAATTTTCTAGAGAATACTGTAAGAAACTATTGGGGAAAAATAAACCTATAGATTCATTGGTGCTGCTATAAAATTGGTGGTAAAAACTATAGTTTCCTACAGAACTAACTTGTATCCTCGAGCCAGTTGAGTAATCCTACAGTTTTGTGGTAAACATTATAGTCTACTATAGAACTAACTTGCATTTAGTTCTGTCAGTTGTGGTTCCTATAGATTTGATGGTAAAAACTATAGTAAAAACTACAGAACTAAATTGTACCCTCGAGCCAGTTGAGTAATGCTATAGTTTTGTGGTAAAAATTATAGTTTACTATATATAGAACTAACTTGTATTCCCAGTTGTGGTTCCTATAGAACTAACTTATTGTCTCAAGTCAGTTGTGTAATCCACAGTTTTCTATGACATTCAATAGAAAACTATGGAAAACACATTTTATTGTATAGATTTTGTGAAGAAACATATAACAGATGAGCCTTCTATAGTTTTCTGTAGAATTTATATGTATACGACACTTAAACCATTTTAACAAATCGTGTAACAATGTTCTATACTACAGATTTTTATAATTTGGTGATGTTTCTTTATTCATACTTTAGTTTACTAGACTTTAATGATGCACTTGTGTGAATTATGTAAAAGTTTTTTAATGTAGTGTATATAATATGAATGAAATAGTGATACATGTTGACAATCCAAGAAATTCCTCACCTCACCCTCCCAAAAATGCCAGTAAATGTAGATTATTACAGCAAAAATAACAGATAATAAATTATTCTTAAGATAAGTCAATGAAATAAAGACAAAGTGTATTTGAACACAGTCTGACTGTCGGGTGAGACTGATAGTTAGATTTTAATGATTATAGCAGATTCTGTACTCAAATTAATCCACGACAGTAAAAATAAACTTATCAAATTAGAACAAATCATGGGCCAACTATATTTATTCCAAAAATAAGAATTAATAAAAAAATCTATAGAATTCTAATGACCCAATTTCGTACAATAAAAAAGTGCAATAAAAAACCTATAGAAATTTCCCCATAAATTCATAGGAACAACTATAGGATATGCGCTACAGAATATTTGAGGCCGTTATTTCCTACATTGCAGCCCCCCCCCCCAAATTCTGCAGAATACTATAGAATTTTATCCTATAGAAAATTGGACACACCCCACCCCAAAATCCTATAGAATTCTGTAGAAAGGTGAACAGAAGTTGAGACCAGAATACAGGCCCTGTTTATGAATGTTATGTGAATGTGCTTGGATTAATCTATGAATGTCACGTGAATGTGCTTGGATTAATCTATGAATGATATGTGGATGTGCTGAGATTTATCTATGAATAATAAGTGAATGTGCTGGGATTAATCTATGAATGATATGTGGATGTGCTGGGATCTATGAATGATATGTTATATTTAGGGCAACCTAGAACAAATTGTAACAGGTTTCTTGGTACCGGATTGTTCGTTGGATCGCTCTACAACATATCAAAAGTTCTCTCATTTTCGGGTCGGGGAAAAGGCCGAATTTAAATAAATTCAAAATGACCACCAAATGTACCCTCTGAGTATCAGAACTCCTTTAATATTGATTTCTCACCTTATAAATTTATTACGGATAGAAACATGAGTGCAGTCCTGAGTTGTACCATTCCTTGTAAAGTCTTAGTAGACACAGGCACTTGAAGGGATTAAAATAAAACTTCTTACTACTGCTTGACTATTATAGTCTATCACATGTCCCAAATAGAGTTTACCCTATTCAAGTTCGAACTTTTTTTGCTCATGCACAACACTTGAAACCTTTACATTCGCTGTCTGAATCAGTACACTTTAAAACCGTGTCGCTTACTGATGCACTTTGCTGTGTCACATTCTACTTTCTAAGCCACAATTGATGCTTTTGGGGATTGTCTCTAGAACTTGTTTTGGCTCTAATTTGTCTTTCGCAAGTGTCCATCCCCACTTTTCTGGGTTTGATTCACCACCCCTCCCCATTCACAACTGCACCTAGTAGTATACACGGAAACCACGATCCTTTGCAACATCTGGAGTCGGCGACAAATTCTGAATCTGGGCACAGGACAAGCTTTTCACTAAACTTTCTCTTGTGCAAGCTTTCTAGTGTTTCAATTAGTCGTCCAACACACAAACGCAACAGGACCTTTTATCCCGCGGAGTTAATTCCATCATTTGTGGATCGTTTGCGGACAAAGACATCAGCGTGTTTTTGAAAGCGATTTTGTGTGTCCTTGTCTATTTTAAATGACAGTTATTACAGACTTTCTATTCACTTAATTCACTAAATTTCCTAGATTATAAAAAGTTGAATAAATTTATATACACTTGGATTCATTCTATAATATGGTTTAATATATTTACACTGAATATCTTTATATTTTTTACATATTAATACAAAATGGTACTCATCTTCAACATCATCATGATAACAAAATTTACAAAATCTTTCAGTTTTAGCAACACTGTTGTATCTACCTGTTTCTATAAATAAGTAATGTGCAGATAATCGGATTTTTGAAATACAATAATTAGCACTATCTGATTAAAATACGGATCTATATTTCGTTTTTTTTAAATATACTTTTGATGACCTACACTACATGAAGATCTAACCGGTTTTAGTAAAAGGTCGCGTCAAAGGTCGTACGCAAGGCTTTTGACCCTATGACGTCAGACATTGATTAATCAATCAGCGTTGACGTTTCTATTGGTTTACCCACAATTCCGTGTATCGCACGCTAAGAAGTCGCCGTAACAGATGGTTTCATTGGCTAACCCCTCACGCCATCCAGAACGCAGGTTATATAACACCTTTTCCAGATCTTAGTGTAGTGCAATTAGCATATTTATATGGAATGGATTTGGACAAATAATATTGTAAGTTAAGATTAGAAGTGAACTGCTGATAAAAGAGACCTTTAATTGGTGAATTACAAATACGCTCTACACATAATTGTTTAAAACTATCTAAAATCCTATGCTTAATGGTTTTGAAATATGATGAGTTACACGATTCTCTATTTTCTCAAATATAGCTTAAACCTATTTGAAATAATTAATTCTTTACATTTGTAATCCATTGACTTTTATCAGATACCTGGCCATGTAAATGTGACACACAGGTAGGGTTACGTCGTTACTATCCTTCGTCACGGCACTAAAAACCATTACGTGGCACTATGGGGACAGACGTGACTATCTAATCAGGAACTTCCAGAAAACGGCCCGTGTAAATGATCAATTAACTGCGAAACACTTTGTTGGTTTACTATGTTTTTATATCTTTATAACATTTATAATGCAAAGGTTACAGGAAACCACACACACAGCTATGACATTAAATATAAGCTAAATATAAGTTTTCTATCACTTAGCGAGTGTTCTGTGGCGAGAGCTAAAATCATTTTTAAAAGTAATTTGAAATGTAAAACAAAAGTAAAAGTAAAA